GATTACATGGTTTCTTTGTGGCCTCAGCACCTAAATCGGATGCTGCTCTCGTTACTCTTTTCTCTGGTTGGGCATGCAAAGGACGCAAAGCCGGGGAATGCTTGTCTCCAAACGGGAATGGTTTATGCCCTGTTAAAACACTAAGCAACATTGAAGAAGGCTACCTTGAATCGTGTAATGCTTGTGTGTCTCTGCCATGCTCGAGTAGGAGTACGGAATCGTGTTGCCAGCATCAGGATAAAAGGCCAGCTAAGCGAACTGTTGTAATGGCTTGTGAAGAAAATGGCACACCTCACTCGTCGGAAGTCGCAAATGGGTGCAAGCCATCTGGAAATGGTAGGTCATGCTGTGTTCCGGATCTCGGAGTTAACAGTGATTGTCTGGGACTTGGTTCTCTTCCAGCAACTAAAGCTATGAGGTCTTCCTCGCTAAACACTGCTGCTCCCGCTCTTAATTCCAGCCTCTTTGTTTGGGAAATGGATAGCAACAGCTTTGGTACTGGACATGCCGAGCGTCCGGTTGCGACAATATTCAAATTTCACAAGGCCATAAGCAAAGATCTGGAGTTTCTTGATGTCGAATCTGGAAAGCTCATTGGTTGCGATGAAACGTTTATTCGTCAATTCATTGGTCGTTTTCACCTACTCTGGGGTTTCTACAAGGCTCATAGTAATGCTGAAGATGATATCTTATTTCCAGCGTTGGAATCGAAGGAGACGCTTCACAATGTCAGTCACTCTTACACGCTCGACCATAAACAGGAGGAGAAGTTGTTTGGAGATATTTATAGTGTTCTTACTGAACTCTCAGTTCTTCATGAGAAGTTACAGACTGATTCTATAATGGGGGACATAGCTCAAGTTGACACTGTTCAGACGGATATTGATAACAGCGACTGCAAGAAGAATTACAACGAGCTGGCTACAAAGTTACAAGGGATGTGCAAATCCATTAAAATCACATTGGATCAGCATATTTTCTTGGAGGAGTTAGAGCTCTGGCCTCTATTTGATAAACACTTCTCCATTCAAGAGCAAGACAAGATTGTGGGTCGTATAATCGGGACAACGGGTGCTGAAGTTCTTCAATCTATGTTACCATGGGTGACGTCCGCCCTTTCTGAAGATGAGCAAAATAGAATGATGGATACATGGAAGCAGGCAACTAAGAACACAATGTTCGATGAATGGCTCAATGAATGCTGGAAAGGATCACCCGACTCATCCTCAATAGAAACTTCCAAACCTAGCGTACAGAGAGGTAAAAGCAATTGCCTAACTTCTTTTCACCAATTTAATATCTAGCTGGTTTTATGTTTTTGCTTTGGACTTCATAACTCATACTTTGGCCGGCTACTGTCTGCTAAGTGTATTTTGCTTATGTCGAGTTTATTTTTCCATTTAGATACTGATCATCAAGAAATCTTAGACCAAACTGGTCAACTATTTAAGCCGGGGTGGAAAGATATTTTCCGCATGAATCAGAACGAACTAGAGGCTGAAATCAGGAAGGTTTATCAGGACACAACACTTGATCCAAGGAGAAAAGATTATCTAGTACAAAATTGGAGGACCAGGTCAGTTTTCTTTAACTATTTCCCTGCACGGATCCTTTATTCAACATTTTCATGCATCCCTGACTTAAACGTAAAACCCCAAATCGGTAAAAACTTACTCTCTAGAATAACTTACATTTTAAATTTCGGTTGTTGGTGCTTTTTATCAGTCGATGGATAGCGGCTCAGCAGAAGTTACCCAAGGAAACAGAAACTGCATTAAATGGTGAAGTTGCATTTGGATGTTCCCCTTCTTTTCGGGATCCCGAGAAGCAAATATATGGATGCGAGCATTACAAGCGTAATTGCAAGCTTCGGGCTGCATGTTGTGGTCAGTTGTTCACTTGTAGATTTTGCCATGACAAAGTAAGCGACCACTCCATGGATAGGTAAGATCTTAAGCCAATGCCCCCTACTTAAATTGAAACCCCTCCTTTGTTTTTCTTTCTCAGTGATATGATATTTATATTTGGAACACTTTACAGAAAATTGGTGACAGAAATGCTCTGCATGCGGTGCCTCAAGGTGCAACCTGTTGGCCCCATTTGCACAACGCCTTCATGCGACGGATTCCCAATGGCAAAGCACTATTGCAGTATTTGCAAACTTTTCGACGATGAAAGGTAAGTAAAACCAACAACATATAATAATCAATTGCGACATTTGCGTTTGTCAAAAATCAAACTTGAGAAGCTATATTCTAACCTTCAGAAACTATTATCTTCTCTTCAGGGCTGTTTACCACTGTCCGTTCTGCAACCTTTGCCGGGTCGGGGAGGGACTGGGAATCGATTATTTCCATTGCATGACATGTAATTGTTGCCTGGGGATGAAGTTAGTAAACCACAAGTGCCTCGAGAAAAGCCTGGAGACAAATTGCCCCATCTGCTGTGAATTTCTTTTCACATCGAGTGAAGCAGTCAGAGCCTTACCATGTGGTCACTACATGCACTCAGCTTGCTTCCAGGTTTGCAAATCTCTCTTTTTCTCATTAAACTTGAGTTCGCTTTTTATCACCTCAAGTCAAAAAAACACTTGTTGTCTGTTTCAGGCTTACACTTGCAGCCACTACACATGCCCAATCTGTGGAAAATCATTAGGAGATATGGCGGTGAGATAAACCCCGTCCCTCAAGAGCGTAATCTGCAAATTACATCATTGCAAATATCATTTACTTAACCATTTCTCCTTATTAAACCTCACAGGTTTACTTTGGTATGCTTGACGCACTGTTAGCTGCAGAAGAACTTCCAGAAGAGTACAAAGATCGCTGTCAGGTGAGAAAACACTAAAAACTGCTGTTTCTTGACTGTTTTGTATGACTCCTCCAGTTCATTGGATGACACGTACCACAAATGTTTCAGGACATTCTATGCAATGACTGTGAGCGCAAAGGAACGACACGGTTCCACTGGTTGTACCATAAATGCGGTACATGCGGTTCTTACAATACCCGTGTGATCAAGTCGGAAATAACCGCCCCAGACTGCTCAACCTCATCTTGAAAACAATGCGAGAGGTCGTTTCACTTTTTTTTTTCACTTCTTTTGTTGGTTTTAGTTTCTGTTCCGCACAACAATGTGAAGAAGGTTTATAACAAAAAAAAAAGCCCGTTGATAGAATTCTTATGTGTATAGTAGTCTCTTGAGATATTAAGATTTTGAAGAGTCTTCTTATTTAGGTTACCATACATTTTGGCTTTGGGCAAAGACAAAACTCGTTTGTTTCTGGAACACAACATTCCCTCCTTTCTCAACATATCCACTATTTGTTTTCTTTTTTATGCATAAGCTGAGACTTTTTTTTTCCTTTGAAGAGTGTATATACTGTAGTTACAATTTTTAATGTAAAATTTGTTATTTCCATTTTTTTTTACCGTCTGTTTCAATTTCTTTTCCCTTTGTTCTGAGCATAATAACTTAGGGGGTTCTTCGTTTCCCTACCACAAATTCTAACAAAGAGGAAAGCCACCTGCGTGTGTTGAGCTTTCCTTTTGATGGTGATAGCCAAGTTATGGAGATGTACGATTTAGACACTGATTCATGGAGGATTCTTGATGGTGATACCGCTCCACGCTGGGCCTGTGTATGCAGTGATCTCATGGTCTCTCTCAAAGGAAACACTTACTGGTTTGTTGTTGATAGAGGAAACCCTCAACTCGGCGTATCCTTGCTCATGTTTGATTTTTCTGCTGACAAGTTCGCACGTGTGCCTCTTCCCTGTCGGTTTGATCTACATTTCGTTGTCGCAAGTTTTTCAGTTGTTAGAGAAGAGAAACTTTGTGTGCTTCTGCAGCAAGAAACTGGTTCCAAGGCTGAGGTATGGGTGACTGATAAGATTGGTGGTGAGAGGACCAACAAAGCGGTGTCGTGGAGCAAGGTCTTAGCATTGGATTTGAGCCCTGATCTTCAGATTGCGTTTCCTGCAACTTTCTTGTTCGATGAGGAGAAGAATGTCGTCACGTGTTGTGATCGATGGCTTGACGACGATGAAAACATCTACCCTAAAGACATGGTTTACGTTGTTGGGGAGGATAACAAAGTCTCTCAAGAGGAAATTGATGGATGCTGGCCAGCTGTTCTCACTTATTTCCCAACTTTGGCTCAAATCTAATTTATCTTGGCGAATAATCAATCCTTTGGAGACTCATAATTGCTTGTTTATGTTTTATTATCATGAAACATGTACAAAGCTTTCTCCTTGGACCCAACTCACTCCCTTGACAAGTTAGCAGCTGTTAGAGCTAGAAATCTTGTTCCATTCACCCTTCAAGTTCGCACCCACATTACTCGAAAACATTTGAGCTTTTGGGTCGTCAAGTTTGGTCCCATATCTGGTGGTTTTGGTTGCTCTCTGTTTGAAAACATAAGCCCATGTTGTGAGACTCTCAGAATCATAAACTATGTACTTCTACTACTCTAGTTGCATTTATCCTCTTTCGAGATTACGCAAATGTTGTATCAAGTATACTGTGTATGTTTCTTCTCATGCTTAATAAAACATTATTTTTGTAAAATAAAATTGAGACATCCTTTTTTCTGGTCAAATTTAAATTATTGTATTTACATATTCATTTCGCGAATTTGGTAAAAAAAATACTTAAGAAAAATGATGGTTATTAATCTGATTTCGGGAAATGTTGAATGTTTTATTAAAAAAAAAATACTGTATGCATTTTCTATTTAAAGTATGTATTCTTGACCAATTTTTTTTTTTTTTAAGTATGTATTAATCTATCTATGTTGTAGTTTTTGAATGTGGCGTATTTTATAACAAGTTGTGTGTGGAAAGCTGATTTTAGAGGAGTCGGAGAAAAACAAACGATCGAGAGTACAACGTTACAATCCCCGTCTCCCCGAATAATTCGAACAGAAGAAAAAAAATAAAAAATAAAAAGTAAAAATTTTCATTGAGAATAAATACACAACCAAAACCAAAAACCAAACAAAAAAATAAACTTTGAACTTGCTCCAAAGGAAAGCTCTCTCACCAAATTGTAAAGAGAGACGAACGAGAGAAAAAGGAATCTTCTTCACAGTTTCTTCAATCAATCAAATCAATGGAATTCCCTCCTCCTCCTCCGCCGGAGAGATCCAAACGCCTCCACAACTTCACCTTACCTTATCTCCGATGGGGTCAGCAGAGATTCCTCAGGTGCGTCAAGCTCCCGCACCACCGATCTCCTTCTTCCTTTCCTTCTTCTTCTTCGTCTCCTTCCCCCGATCGCGCCGCTCATGGATCCCCCGCAGCTGCCGGAGGAGGAGTGGTGATCTCCGGAGTCGATCCTGTGTACGATGGAAAGCCCAAGGTGTCGGCTTTGGGAAATGGCGTAGGAGGAGAAGCGAAAAACGGCGACGATGCCGTTGCAGCAGCTGTTCGGCCGTGGAATCTGAGGACGAGGAGAGCCGCTTGCAACGAACCGGGAGACGAACCGGCGAGGATCACCGAGTCTTCTCTCCGGAGACATGATACCGGCGATGGAGATTCGCACAAGAACGAGAAATTGAAATTCTCGGTTTCTTTGCAGAGAGAAGAAATCGAAGAGGATTTCACTGCCCTAATTGGGAAAAGACCTCCTCGAAGACCAAAGAAGAGACCAAGGCTTGTTCAGAAGCAAATGAATGTAAGTTTTTTTTTTTTGGTTTAAGAATGAATGAATGAATGTAAGTTTGATTCTTCCTCTCTCTTTTTTTACAATTTCTATCGATTTTGCTTTCTTGTTGCTTTAAAATTTCATTTGAATCTCCTTTGCAGACGCTATTTCCCGGATTGTGGCTAGCAGAAGAAGTAACAGCAGGCTCTTACGACGTCCCTGAGGCTGCGGAAACATGAAAAAAGGTGATTCCTGGAAGGAACTGTATCAGCTTTTGTTTTCTCTACTTTTGAATCTTTCCGTTGTAAAAAAAGGAAGAAACAAAATTGTAGCAATGTGCCTCCCCTCCCCAGTTTAGTGAATGTGAAGCCATTTTAAAATGGTTTTTCTTATTCTTCTTCTTCTTCTTCTTCTGTTGTAAAAGAGACAACTGTGGTTTTTTCATTACCAATGCTAATTGTAATCTCTATGGCAATGGAATCTCCAGCTGTTTTTTTCGTTATCAATAATGCAGCTCTCTGCAACTGTCTTACAGCTTTGGTCCTTATTCTACTATGCTTCTTCCCTACTATTAGCCAGCTAAAAATTGGTATCTTGCTAAGTTTACGCAACAACAACAAAAAAAATCTGATCTTGCTAATATTGAGCATGTTGGTGCCAAGAACTTGCTGAGAAACTATGGCTCCTTTTACAACCATGGCCAAAGTTTCAGACAGCTTCCTTTCGCTCTGGTAAGCTGAGTTACAAGCACACAAATTTAGTTTTTGAACACCTGAGATGGTGGGACACTTGCTCCTTTGCTGCAATTAGGTTTTACGTATTGATTTTTGATGTTCCATTGTTGACTGTTTTATGGAAACGAAGAAACAGTCTGGTTACTATGCTGTAAGGTAAATGCTATGATGGTAATACATATTGTTAATGATCTGAAAAATCTTCAGAAACCTACTTGTTCTTGCACTGGCGTGCTTCACGGTCAAGAACTTCTCTGCAGTTATGTAGAATATCCAAAGCCATGATCAAGCTTTCAAAGACATATCATTGACAGACTTCAAGGTGATTTACGTTTGAAATCTTCAGCTAAGGAGAAGAGATGAGAAAGAAAGAATGAACTGTACCTTTGGACACTTAAAAGAAGAAGGTAAAGGTACTTATTCAACCCTTGAAATCTCATTTTAGATATTACGTTTTTTTTTTTCTAAGCTCATTGTCTTTTGCAGTAGTGGCACACCACATCCATTATTTTAATAGAGGTTTTCAACTTCTAATCCATGGACTTAGGAATTTTAATCTCAAATGTTTCAAAACATTATGATCTCCTAATCCTTTTCCTTATCATCATCTTCTCATGGAAATGTAGTTTCCTTTGCATCTCCCACATTCACCGATTAATCCAAGTTTTAGCAATAGAAGTTGTCTTGATTTTGATCGTTTTCTTTTGAAACGATCCTCTAGGAAGAAGAAGAAAAAAAGTCTCTGAGCAGAGAGTTTCGTCTTTCCTTCGAACAAGGTGAGTTTTTTCAATTACCCTGCTTTTCTCTCTGTTTCTCAATTTGTTTCACAGACATGACCGTTTGTTTTAACAATTCCAGCAAAACGGAGACATCATGATCTGTGCGGAGAGGATTTCGTTCGCGAGCGACCTCGGCCAATCAGATACTGTGGAACAACAACCATCAGGCCCGGTTCGAAGAGACACGACACTACTAGATTCATCAAACCCAGATTTCGAGTTCCACATTTCCAGAAACTTTGATCCCAGAGATTCCTCACCGGCTGATGAGATCTTCGCCGACGGCATGATCCTTCCTTTCCAAGTAACTACTGCATCCGCCATGCCAAAACGTCTCTACAAGTACGAGCTCCCTCCTATCGTCTCCTCTGCTCCTTCCTCTGTTCCTCCTCCGCCATTGCCATTACCTCAAAGCTCGAGAAAATACAGCGACAAGGAAGCTCCAGGAGGCGGAAACGGTCGTGGGAGCGGCGCGAATTCGGACTCGGAGGCGGAGAAATCGTCAAAGTCGTTTTGGAGCTTCAGGAGAAGCTCGAGTCTTCACTGCGATATAAAGAAGAGTCTCATCTGTTCCTTTCCTCGTTTGACGAGAAGCAATTCCACAGGATCAGTGATGAATTCGAAGAGGGCGATGCTAAGGGACATTAACAAACATAGCTCGCAGAGACATGGAGCCCCACGTCCAGGGCCAAATCCGTCATCCCATTTGTCTTCTCCCTCTTCTTCTGCCTGCTGCAGCTCGTATCAGTTCAGGCCACAAAAGAACGCTGGAATGAATGGCGGCGGAGGAGGAGAAGGAAGCTTTCGGATTAGTCCCGTGATCGGTGGTCCATCTCCGTTTGGGTTAGGATCGATCTTACGACTCTCGAAAGAGAAGAAGACCAAGAACAAGTAACAAATAGATTAAGACTTCTTTTTCTTTTAAACAAAGTAGGACAACTTTTATACGGGAAAATGATAAATAAATCTTCAATTTTCGAATTTCGGCCAATCAAATCATCCCATTTCTCATAAACACCAACTCATGTTGACTTTTTCTTTTAAATTCAAACTTTTGTTAACCGAGTCAAATTAAACCAAATAAATAAACAAAACATCAACTTTCTAAGAAACATATTAAAACTCCAATTTATTTTGATATTTTGTTCTAATTCCAAAATTATATTAACTTAGCCAAATTCACGTCATTAAACTGATTAACATAATAAAATGAGATAAATTTTGTTCTAAAGCTTAGTTAACCGAAACAACATCATCGTAATTTTCTCTAAAATCCTAAATTTTTGTAATCTTAAAATTTGATATCTCTCCTAAATTTCAAATCAAATTTTGATTCATTTTTTTTTATTATTCTCTTAATTCGATTCTGCTAATTTTTTTTTTTATAAATTGATTTTTTTTGTTTATTCTTCATATTCCAATAAATATCAAATCATAATGAATATATAAAAAAAATCTAGTTATATGGCTAGAAATTTTAATTTGAGGATTTTAAGAGAAAATTCAGCAATGTTATTTCTCTTAACTAACTTGTAGAATGAAATTTAATCTTGTTTAATCATTTTGTCCTAATTTGGTCCCATCAAGAAAAATTTAGGATTCAAACAAAAAGTCAATATAAATTGAAGATTTGATATGTATATGAGAAATGATTTGTTTGGCCAAAACTTGGAAGTTGATTTATCTAGCATTTTTCTCATTTCAGCATTAAAATAAAACTTAACTCTTTTTAATCCTTATATTAGTCAACTTAACAATATGTTTAATTTGGCTCTTTCAACAAAAATTTGAAATTTTAAAAAAAAATCAATAGATTTTGATAATTTAATATGTCTAATATTTAAATATTAAGAATTTATTTGTTATTTTCTCATTTTTATATGAAACTTTTATAAATAATTTATTATTTTATGCGTAATGAGTGAGAGACTCTGCAACTCAACTAGCTTTGAAAATTTTGATATTCGATACCAAAACTTAATCGATATAATAATCTATTTGTATAATGAAATTTGAGAATTAATAACTTTCAAAAATGAATTTGAAAAGACTAAGACGAAAAATTCAGTTAACATGACAGTTTCAGAAAATGTGTATATCTAAAATCTCTTATGAAAGTATCTCTATAGTATCTAAAATCTCTTATGAAAAGTCTCCCTATATCTAATATGAAAGTCTCTCTATATCTAAAATCTCATATGAGAGTCTCTCTATAACTAAAATCTCTTATGAAAGTCTCAGTAACATACCACATAAATTTTAGATAATTTTGAGAAAATTCGAAAAAATTCTGAAAATATGTAGAACTTTTAAAATTCAATTTTTTTAACAAATAACTTTGTTATTTGGTATCCTCTTATACCATTCACTTCCGGTATTCTTCCCGTATCTATTTAAATAAAATATATGGTCCCAATCAAAGAAACCCGGACTATACAAGCCGGTTAGAGTCGAGACCGATTATGATTCGGTTAAGAGTCAAAGCTCACGCAAAAGGGAGCAAGGAACAATTCAAAAGGAGGAACCGAATCAAACTACACATAACATGAAGGTTAAAACTAGAGATAAACATGGTCTAAGGCTCGAAGCCATACTTATTTACCAACAAGTGATGGGAAATCAGCAGAGTGTGGTGTCGAAGTTGAGAGAGATGCCCATGCTGAATAGCTCCTGATACAGCAGCTTTGCTCCGTACGGCACACAAGCCCTCACCACATGGTCCGGAGACTCGCACACTCTGCAGTATGGCCCTCTGGTCTTTCTTCCGCTGCTCGCTGCCCTCTCGATCACATTCGCCACGTTCTGACAGTTCCTGCAGATGTGCATGTGCGAAGAGTCACTCAGAGTGAAGAGACGCTCGTGCAGATTCGCTGACGCTCCATGTGCTATGAGGCAGTCTCGCTCCATCTCTCCAAACTTGATTCCGCCGAACCGCTTTCTGTCTGCGACTGGCTGGCGTGTGAGCGGGTGAACTGGTCCGGTGTTTCTGAACTTGACCTTGTCCTCTGACATGTGGATAAGTCTCTGGTAGAAAGTTGGGCCCATGAAGATGAGTGAACGCATCATCTCTCCTGTTCTTCCGTTGTAGACTCTTTCGTTTCCCCATCTTGAAAACCCAGCCCTGACAAAGATTCACCACATTATCACAAGCCAAATCACTCACAAGCAAATGTTGATCAGTTACATAGCATGCCTATTGACCTCATACTCATTGTATCATCAAGCCCTGTACTGTTTCAATCTTTTGTATGCATTGCTAAAACCAAGTGACAGTGTGAAGAAAGTACCTGTGAAGCTGGTCGGTTATTTCACTGACGCTGGGAGTGGAGAAAGGAGTGGCATGACGAGTCAGTTTGGTGTACGCATCAGAGCTACCCTTCTTCTTCAGGATGGGACAAGCTATTCCTTTGGAGAGCGCAGCCTCCAAGAGTTGGCCCGGTGTTTGCCTAGACGGGAAAGCGTGTGGGTTTATCACAATATCAGGAACTATGCCTTGCATCGTGAACGGAAAGTTCTCCTGCTCCTCTATATACCCTAACACACCCTTCTGGCCATGCATACTGGAGAATTTATCTCCAAGACATGGAGAACGAACCTGCGAGATGTTAAAGACAGATCAATAGACATTTACAATAACTCTGAGTTATCTGAAAGACAGCTCTCACTTCAGTATGATCTGAAAGCTTACCTGTCTCAGAGAAACAACAGCAAAGTTCTTCCCATCGTCATTAGATGACAATACCACCTTTTGCACAATCCCTCTCTCGGTGTGCTTGAGCTTTACACTGTGATCAGCCCCAGACTCGGTACATCGGCCGATGACAATATCGCCACTGTGCATATTAGCACCAATAAAAGGGAACCCGTCGTCATCGAGGCTGTCTACTCTTCCGATTCTGCTGTGTGTCTTTCCGAACTGCACCAGCTCATCCATCTTCTTCCTCTTCTCCGAGTCCCTGCTATCAACATCCGCTTTGTAGCTCCTGATCTGCTCCGAGCGGAACATACCGCGTTCCATTGAAGCCTTGTTCATCACAATCGAATCCTCCTGGTTGTACCCGAGATGAACATTCACAGCAACGATTGCGTTCTGGCCATTAAAGAGCACTTCTTTCTGCAAACACTCAGACGCCAATGTCTTGAAAAGCGGCTTCTGGGGATAGAACAGCTGCTGGGACAGCGTATCACAGCGGGTGTCAGGGTTCGTTGATGAGAACCCAATCGCTTGTTGGCAATGCTTCTGTGATTGGTACAGAACTCTCCTCCCATGATCGTGATTTGCAAATGGGACAATCGCACAGCTCACACCCAGCAGGAAGGACATGTCCAGTTCGCAGTGTGTGTAATTCTCAGGTTCCTCCAGAAGCTGTTTGATTCCCCATGCTGCGTTACAGTCTTCTTCTTCCTCAATACCGACCAGCTCCAGAATCCCTTGGTCAAGAAGATGGTCGAAGGAATACTGTGCAGGCTTTTCTTGCTTCAGCTTGTGGAGATTCTCCACAACCAAGAGAGGTCGGAGTAGTCTGCCAGCGTCAGTGAATATCCTCACCTCATTGTCATCTTTATCTCGCTTGATCTCCATCTGCAAGTAGACACATTTGTGAAGCAGGAAAAAATCCAAGGTAAATACCAAGAAGCAGCGCCGCAAGAATATCGAAATAACACAGGCATTTGATGAAACAGAAGATACCTGACGAGGTAGTTCACGCTGACGACGCCTGCTTCTTAACTCCGCAACAAAGGATTCAGGATCTGAACATACTCCAACCCAGTCTCCATTGACAAGAACTTTCTGTTTCCCACACAGAGATGTGATGGTATCGTCCACCAGCTCTTCCATTCCACAAGCAAAGAGGGTTTTCCACCACAGGCTCCAAAATCTGAGTGCTAACAAGTCCAAGGAGAGACATGTTCTTCACAAGACCGCAATTTTCACCATCTGGGGTTGACAAAAAGCATACCCTGCCCCAGTGAGAGGGATGCCTGTGGCCAACATTACAAACAACGCAATCAATGTTAAGTTCCCAAAACGATTCAATTGTTTTAACTACTCTCATTAGAAAGTAACCAAAATGGATAATCTCGATGTTGACATCAGGTAAAATACACAAGTGACGAAGGGAAAAAGAAACAAGAAAGACAGTATCATTTATACAAAATCAGTATAATCTGGAACAAACACAGATGTGATTCTGCAGGAAGTAGTGGTTACCATCATAAGCTAAATGAAATAAGTTAATACGAATATCAGATAAACAGTTTGAAGACATAAAAAATTAAGCAAATGCAGACCATACAGCATAGTTTAAAACAAAGCAAGAGAGGTGGAAATGTCACTTACGGATATCTAGCATCTCCAACCTTGCCGGTATAGAGAACTTGCTGTCGCGTTCTCCTCAGATCAATCAGAGTCTGCAGTGGATTTGCACGGCCCAGATTGGCTACGACACCTGAAACTCTTTCCATCTTCCTGAAAGGATGAGACCATGCTCCAGTGGAAAAGGCTCTACTTAGCCCATTTGTGATAATCGATGCATCTAAATAGTGCTCAATGGGCTTCAAATCGCCATCGCCTGTGAGGTGTCTCTGCATGGCCTTGGTCATTGATCTTCTAGCATGTGCCAGATGCACCCTTATCTCCCTCTCCAACAGTTCTCCAGCTAGCTCAATCCTCTTGTTCCTGAAGCTGTCCCTATTCTCACATTTTCTTTTCCCAGCAAAAGCGCTGAACAAGCACTTCACCATGTAGCCCAGGAACCGTGCTTTCTGCTTCAAACCTTTGAGGCTTGGAAACAAGTAGAGACGCAGGCAGTCCTCCACACTTTCGTCAGGTGGGAACTGGGTGCTCTTGATCTGCTTTTCAACAAACGCTAGAGCATTGGTCCCATAGCGAAAAGCTTCGCAGACGGCATCAGCTTCATGGATCGAAGCTATTAGACTGTTGGTGATGCTTGCATCATCACCATCAAACGCTATAAGATCGAACGCCTCTTTGTCGGAAGAAACGCCAAGTGCAAAGAACAGAATCCATACTGGGATCTCAGTAGACAAGAAGTACACCGTCAGTACTTTCTCCCTTCTCTTGTAGTCTTCTGCTTTCTGATTCTCTCCCAGGCGCACAATGAACCTGTTTCTTTTGGTTTCGGACCGGTACGAGACTGTCCATGGGGATTTAGAGATCCACAGTCTCTTTGTGCACATCTGTTCTTGAGCAATAAAGACCTGCAAACACACAACATATTCATCTTACGAACTTGCATAACAGCCTAACTATAACAAAAAAACTCACCTTCTCAGCTCCCTTTATGACAAAGTAGCCACCTTGATCGAATGCACAATCACCCTTGTTGTGGTCTTCTTCCCCATTCTTCCCTTTTCCCACTGTGTTGCAGAGAACAGACTTCACCATCACGGGTATCCTGCCAATCGGAATGCCCTGACTCCTCTTATGCAGTATCTGCTTCTCCACAGTTTCGTCTTGTCCCGTCTTGAACTTGTCTCTCTTGACCACTTTTTGAACAAACACCTAGTCCATTTATGAATTGAAGACGCAGTTACACAACAAACTAACATCAAAACAGAAACTTGATCGAAAGTTTGTTAGTTTCCTTACCTCGACTTCGACGTTCACAGTCATGCGAGCAGAATAGGTCATGTTCTGCAGCCTCGCGTGCCATGGGAGGAGCTCAAGCTCCTTGTCATCCGAATAGAAAGAGGGCTTCTCAATGGTGACTTCTCCGAACTTCACCGTCGCGTACCTCCAATCATGCTCCTTGTTCTTCGTAGCATCAAAAGAAGGCTCCACTAGCATCTCGCCGAAGGATTGAAACAAATGTTGAAGCCCGTGCTCGATGAAGAAGTTGTAGGAGTTGAGCTGATGACTTATAAGCCCATACTCATCGAAGAAGGATGTGGCGGCTTTCTTGCAGAAGTTCTGGAGAAAATGTTCTCCAAGCTCAGACAGACTGATCTCCCCAGCATCCTCAATCTCTCTAATGTCCATCTCGTCAATATCCATCTCTGCCATAACTGTAAGAAACGGAAGCAAAACCCCAAACGAAGACAGACAAATGATTAAGGAGACCTAAAATCATGTCCTACGCAAACGCATGTGATGATCTATGATGCAATCAAGCTTTTCACCAGAAACGAAAAAACTTTCTCCAAAACACGGGATTGTAAACAAAGGCATAATCTTTGGGAATTTCAAGCTTTAAAAAGCAGATTCATGGCGTATTTCTTACAAAAGTATAATCTTTGGGAATTTCAAGGTTTAAAAAGCAAATTTGTAGCGTATTTCGAAAAAATGTGTACCTAAACGACGGAATGAAACGGCTGAGTATGACGGCGGTGGCGAGGGAGAGCGGAGAGCACAACTTCGTCGGAAAATTCGCTGCAGATGATGAGAGTGAAAAACCCTCTGCTCGCTTGCTTTCTAAACGTTGAACGGAAATTGTGTCCGACGACGAGTGAAGAAATCAGACTGTCCCTTCGAAATGACAGATATGCCCTTCTGTTGCTCTCGCTTTTGTGCGCTTAAAGCCTTAAATTAGTTCAAGGAAAAAGGATTATATATGTCAAAATTTGCAGCTATAATCTCCTTGACATGTTTTCAATTAACCAGATAAGATGAAAATAAGCTCCTCCATATTTTGACTAAGAGAGACCATTATGTTATTATTCTCTTCTTTTGTAGTATAAGATTGTTAAGCTCAAAATGGGGGAACCTTTGTTTAAGAGTTTTTGTTAAAACTTTTAAAGTTGCTAGAATGCAAAATGATAATTTGTTACTATTTAACCTGTTTTTATTTCCATTGAAAAAACAAAGAAAAAAGAAAGGTTTAAAGATATATAAAATTAGGGCGCATAATAATTATTTACAATTTAGAAAAATTTAAACAAAATCACAGTGAACACGTAACTTCATATCTAAAATATATTTAGAATTTTAAAAATATAAAACAGTAGAAACATAATTCGAATAATATCCAACCCTAAATAAAATATCATACATAAGATCATACTGAGACAAATCTAATCAAGCTTAGAGACATAAAATTTATAGGTATCATACCTTCTTCAAGTAATTCTTTGGCGGATGTATCTTCTAAAGTTAAAGAAGACCTTCTCAGATCTTCCATCCTCGATTTGATCGAGTACATAGCATCGACAAGAGGTAGGGAAACGACGTTTTTGAAGTAGTTTTCCATGCTTAGAGAATGCGTTCGTTAGGTTTAAGAATGCGGCTGCATTATTCGGCTGCTTAGATCGTATATAAGACAAATAAAAAGATTTGCAAAACGTAATGGGTCCTGCTCTATTTTCTTCATTCTTGTAAATATATTTATCAAAAATTGTTTTTGTTGATTCAAAAAAAGTTGTGTAGTAATTTTTAGAATATTAATGATACCTAGAAAAATAGTTATAGACAGTTGTTCAATGCAAATTTTTTGTAAAAAAAAACACAGATTTAAGAATTAGTTGGGTTTTTGTTCTATTGAATGTTTGTTAACTTTTTTTTATGACTTATTATTTTATAATCATAACGCAGTTTGTTACAACTAGTAATTTAAGTAGTCCAGTTTTCTTTTCTTTTTAAAATTTCTTCTATTTGATTTCTAATTGTCTTTATTCTATTAATAAAAAAAAAATTTCGTTAAGTGAAAAATTTGTTCTTTTTTTGAACAGACCGTTCATAAATCATCTATAACTCATTATTGAATCTTTTTTAGTTTTATTTAGTTCAGATATTTTTTAAGGTCAAATAATAGAATTAGATTTGGTTTTAAAATGTTTTTTATTTTTGAAAAACATGTTTTAATCCAGTTTTTAGTTTCTTTTGAGACTTTTAGAAAAATTATCGCTCTTTCTTTGAAAATCAAAACCAGAAAAGACTTAGACGGCGTATTAAAACTGAAATTTTAGAAGACTTTGTTGTTATTTTAAAATTTCATGTTATTCAACTAATGATTTCTAAATGTCTTACCAAAATCTATGTTATTGAACATGAAATTTATGTAAAATCAATTAAAATCACATCAACATCCATGTTATTCAATCAAGAATTTATAAAAACTAAATCAACTCCACTGTTATTGGAAATATTTTAAATAGTAGATTTTATAAAATATTGAGTACTTTTAAATGATTTGATGGAGTTTGTTAGTTAAAAAAATTAAAAACCAAATCCCATTATTTTAGGTGGGATTTCATGTAATTTTAATATTAAATCATATCAACTTTCCTAATCCACATAAAATCATCTAAAATTTCATTAAAACTCAAATCTTTTCAAATTTTCTAAAAATTTAGTGTCAATACACTCCATTTAGTTTTTTTTTTTTTTTTTTTAATTCTTTTAAAATAGATTTAAAAAAAAAGATTTTTTTCTGGTAGAATCAAACTGTATTTCAGTTTCCAGTCCCCCAAACTGTTAAAAAGAAAAATCATTTTTTTTCTAAATGACCGTAAAAATAGATTAACGTAAACTCATAGGTGCAACAAAGTAGCTAGCAGCATAAATGTATACATCTTTTCTGCGGAATTTCCAAAATCATCTTCCATTTCTCTTTTCATCTCTTTGCATGTTTACAGAATGGAAATTACTCAAAAGTAAATCTAATAAAAAAAAATTAAATTATCCTTATCATACAAAATTGGGTCGGCGAAGACAGAACGAAGCCGTCAAAATCTGTGTGTACAAGCTAACAAGATTCTATAACTCATTTTTGGAGATGGTACAGAGAAAGGAAGTCTTGATATGAAGAAGACCGATCTTGCCATTGAGAGAGAAGCGTCTTGCACGTAAGCAAAGTTTTCGTATCGCAATTCACATCCCGATCTTCGAAGCAAATCTCGACCGGAGACATATCATCCAACACTTCAAGCCCTGCTCTTCCTCCAACGACATCATTATTCTCTTTACGACGAACTTTGGAGACAAACGTAGTGAGTTCTTGATCTTGCCTGTCTGAATCAGCTGTCTTTGTGATTGGAGAATAAGCAATGAAACGCTTTTTCTCCTTCTGCGATGAGTCGTTGTTGAGCCACAAGTCTTCGTCAAGTGAAATGTCTGTCTCGTTTACACCCGAGTTTGCCATCTCGCGTGCTGCTTTGGAGATTTGGTCGCACCGGTCAGAGAACTCTACATCTGGTGAGAACGCTTGTTCTGAATTCGGACAACCATTGCGGAACTCGTGTAGCGTGAGGAGGACTGGAAGTGGAAGAACAGGACCAACGAGCTCAACACCGGGCTGCTCCTTCTTTGACCATTTGCTACTTCGGCTTGAAGGTTTCCTCAGGAAGAAAGGTGGTAACTGTGGAAACTCCGGAACAACTAAGAACTCGAGAGACGGTTTCTTCTTGTCTAACAGAACACCTTGAACCTCAGAGTAGTTTGAGAACGCAAGCAACAAAATCTCTATAGGTAAGCTTGACCACGTTTCTCTCAATGCAATGTCGAAGACGCTTGTTGGTGAATCGATATTGTCGAATACCGCAGTAACTGTAGAGGAACATCTGTCTCTACCGAATCCGCAAATCTTCAACTTCTCGCATAGCTCCTCGTGGAATGTTACGTCAAAAGAATCACTCTTCTTCGAACTCGATGATTTTTTTGTACTCATCCTCGAGTCTAAGAACCCGGCGAGCATCCCTTTTGTGTGAGCAGAGAGATACCCGAGCTCGAGATATTTGAACCGTCTAGGGAAATTGTATTTGTCATCATCAGGGAAGTACAATAAATTCTCCTCTTCAGATTTGCAGGCCGAATCTATGTGAGCTGTTACTTCCAAGCTATCTAAAGGCTCACGAGAAGCACGAAAGTTGACTGCTTCGAGCTTCCCTGAGGATGTTAATCGAATCAAAGTAAAACCAGAAGATTGATATGATGACCCAAGTGAAAGGTACTTGTTCAAAACGCCAAACCCAAGAACAAGAACGCTCTTCTTCTGCCAATCAATCCACGCGGGAAGAGACTCCTTCATTATCACTTCTCTAATCACACAATCTCCGCATAGACATTTTCCGGCTGGTAAGAGTACATTGTGTGGAAGCTCCCATACACACAAGGAAGAAGGATCCTTGGCAACAGAAGGAGAAGGTCCAAAGCAGAACATCTGAGATTGTGCATTCCAAAACGATCCTACTATAACGCAAGAAATAGTTGATTCATCGGTCTGACATCCGAGATCGGACAAGCTATAGACATCCATGAAGCAAGGCTTCTCAACATCATGCTGCCATTTCAACAAAGGCACTCTCGATCTCTGATCACAGAGGAATAGATAGCTCCGGGAAGCAAGAATAAACCGAAAGCTGTCACTACCCGCCTTGGCAAAAGCAACAAACTCTTCTGTTCCAGCCATGTTCAAACTCTCAGTTTCCAGCAGAGATCTCGCACTGCAGTTTCCAGAGCTTCTGGTGATGACAAAGACTGCATCAGACCGAGCAACGATGAAAACCCCGAGCCTCCAGCCAAATTCACATCCTAGCCAACTCTGATTCACTAGACCCTCCCAAGAAACTTTCATCTTGCAACCTCTAAATCTACAATGCCTATGATTCAGATCAAACATAAAGACCTCACCGTTCTCTAACAACACCAAACTCTCTCCAGGGAGATGAGGGCTCCAAGAAGCGCTCGCAATGGAACAGCTCTTGAATTGCTTGCCTCCGAGGTAACTCAAAACCGGCCTGCCTCGAGACTCGTCGTACTTGACACAGTACCAATGTATCGAATACAGAGTATAAACCATAACGTATCCAAATTCGATCGAAGAAGAACACTTATACACTCCCAAATCACTAACCGGTTGCACCAATATCTTCAAAACTCTCGAAAAGAATCGCTCTTTAGCGACAAATAAGTAACCTTCATCCGTACCCATGACCCGTAAACCATCTGAATCTCCGGCGGAAAGCAGGACGAACCCAATCTGATCGAGGTTAGTACCGGTTGGGAAAAACAGCAAGACGGAGTTTTTACCGGGACAAGGTAGAAACTGGAGGCGATTGTAGGAGAGAACCCTAGCGGCATCATCGTTAGGATGGGGAATACGGAATGAGGCCTCGATTGCAGAAGAAGACGACGGAGGGACGCCGGAGACGGCGAGAAATCGAGCGTGGGTTAGGTGAGGGATGCGAGAGAGAATCGGAGGAGAGAGTGAGGGAGAAGAGAAGAGTAGCTGCGAGGCTGATGGGTTTGAGAAGGAAGGACCAATAATGGATTCTTCGGGAGGGGATATGGAGGCTTTGCGTCCCCAATCATCTACAACATCCATAGCTTTTTTTTGTACCGAGATCGGCGGCGAGAGGAGGTGTCGACTAATTATGGCCGGTTTGTTAATTAATTCACGAAGAAAGCAAGCAACTTCTTTTTATTACAGAAACATCCTGTATTTTATTTAAGAACGCTACATAATATTTTACTAAAACATTATTTTAAAATTATTTTAATGAATTGCTAAAATGAAACATTTATAAATTATTTTACTAAAACATTATTTTAAAATTATTTTAATGAATTGCTATCCCAAAAAAAAACCATATTTTTTATTGTGTTTTTCACATATTAAATTTTTGGTTCACTTCTAGAAAAACGAGGTGGGTCTATTCTGAATTGGAAAACCAGATTAAAAATAGTCGTGAAATCTGCGCAAGATTTGATATATAGTTTCTTGTTTTCTTCTTTAGACTTGCTTAAAACTTGCTGAAAATGAAACTTGTTGCATAGGATTGGAATACTTACATAACGGATACAAACCACCAATGGTTCATAGGGATGTCAAAACCACAAATATATTGTTGAATGAACATTTTCAGGCCAAGTTAGCTGACTTTGGACTTTCGAGATCTTTTCCGATCGAAGGAGAAACTCATGTGTCAACAGTTGTTGCTGGAACTCTTGGTTATCTTGATTCAGAGTAAGTGTTATTAAGATTATTGATTTTGTTTTACATTAATTTGAAGATAAGTTGTTATTCTTTTGCATATTTTATTTATCTTCTAATGGAAAAAAATTATGCAGATATTATCGAACAAATTGGTTGAACGAAATAAGTGATGTTTAGAGCTTTAGAATTGTACTATTAGAGCTCATCACAAACTAACCCGTGATCAATCAAAGTCGTGAAAAGCCACATATAGCAGAATGGGTGGGAGTAATGCTTGCAAAAGGAGACATCAAAAACATTATGGATCCAAAAATGTATGAAAATTATGACTCTGGTTTGTCTGGAGAGCAGTTGAACTAGCAATGTCGTGTCTAAATCCTTCTTCAGCTAAAAGACTAACCATGTCTCAAGTTGTCATCGAATTGAAAGAGTGTTTGGCAAATGAAAACTCAAGAGGAGGATCCAGACAAAACATGAACTCGCAGAGTTCTATTGAAATGAGCATGAACTTTGATATTGGAACTGCCCCTGTTGTTCGCTAGACTGCAAATTAAAATCATATTTTATTTGTTCTATCGAATAAATTTTCGTTATTTTAAAGAAATTTAAATTTTTGTAATGAGATTCTGTCATTGTTAAATGTGATTAATTTGCAATCAAGATCAGTACAAAAGACTCGGTATATTATAAGTAAAATAAATAAATTATGATGTCGATGGAGCAACTTCATGAGGCCTCTAAAGTGATGGAAGTGTTGGGTTCGACCACTGTATCGCTTTAATTAAGAAGAAACTTCAATTAAAAACTGTCAATCACTGCTCTATGCGAGGGTTTTTGTTCTTTTTTTTGTCGTCAATGTCTTTTTTCTTCTCAATATATCGTTAATGTTTGTATTTGACTAATTACTAACGTACTTAGTGCATGTGTCTGGTGAACACCATAAATTAATATGTTTTCCTTCTTTTTTTTTGAACAGAAGATGTACAGAAAAGAGAACACAACGATTTACCTGCAGAGGCACAATCTGCAGAGGCATAGGCACAGGCTGCACATGATCCACATGATCCTCCCTCTCCACGTCGTCCCTTTCAAAATCCTCCCTCTGCGCAGCATATCAAAAACAGAGAATAGCTGATATGTTTGTTATCTTTGACAAAATCGAATAGACCAACCATTACACAAACACAACATATCAAAAACAGAGAATAGCTGATATGTTTGGACCAACCATTACACAAGCACAAGATATCAAAAATAGAGAATAGCTTATATCATGAGCTGGTTACACCAAGAAACAAGCAAAGCTTTGTCGTTGGTCGAGTCCACAAACCCTTCTGGCAATTTCAAGATATGAGCTTCTTTGATCACCCATATGAAATTGAAGTTCGATTCATGTAGATTTCAAATCCACCAAAACGTTCTTTCACAAGGATCATTGGCCAGAAAGAAGGCAATACAAAAGGTTGAATCTTTTGTTAGGGAATCTCTAAAACTGTTGATCATAAAACTACATGATGTGTGTGTTTAGAAGGAAGCTCTGTTGCCTTTTTTCAAGACTTTGATGGGTCATCAAGAATCGGGTTAGGGCTAGAGTCATCATCAGGAGGCTAAGGAGGAGAGCTCGAGGAAAAGAGAGCTCTGAAACCGAAGTTCCTTCTATCAGTCTGAGCTCAAACTCCACAAGACCTATTCGGATTGCAACGTTTACGGTGGCAATGTTCTCACTTGCGCTTGTGGTGCAAAACATGAAGGAAACAGCTTTGCTTGATCATATATACATAAAGACCTCACCGTTCTCTAACAAGACCAAACTCTCTCCAGGAAGATGAGGGCTCCAAGAAGCGCTCGCAATGGAACAACTCTTGAATTGCTTACCTCCGAGGTAACCAAAAGTCAAAACCGGTCTGCCTCGAGATTCATCGTACTTGACACAGTACCAATGTATCGAATACATAGTATAAACCATAACGTATCCAAATTCGATCGAAGAAGAACACTTGTACACTCCCAAATCACTAACCGGCTGCACCAATATCTTCAAAACTCTCGAAAAGAATCGATTCTTTGAAGTCACTAGGTATACACGCAGGTTAATATTTTGTTATATATTTTTAAATTTGTGATTAATATAATATTTTAATTTAAATATAATTATATTTTTGAACTTATTAATTCTATAAAATTATAAATATTGTATGAATTAATCCATATATTGTACTCTTTTGCTTTTAGTCTTAAATAATTTCTTGATAGTTTTCAAATAATTTACCCTTATTGGGAGCAAACTCATATCCATAGGTAACTATTCTTGGGGGAGTTTTCTTGGGCAGGAAGGAAAAGGGATATCAATGGCGGGTTTTGCTAGCTGGTTTATATGGAGGTCTGCGTATCTGACTGTCGTTAGCTGGAGAAACCGCTTCTATGTCGCTGTCAATTAGCTCACCACTTTCGTCTTTGGTCGTGACATTAGCCGTATCTGATCAAAATCCTCTCCTCCACGCTAGGCACTATTTCTCTCTCTCTCTGTCTCTCACCGCTTCTATATGCCTATTGCCTAATACGGAAACCATTAAAAACTATGTCGTTTCTCGAAACAACTCAATGAGCAGCAAATGATGCAAGTCAGACTTTAGAAAGACAGGGTTTTGACTTTTTGTTTCAATATGTATATATATATATATATATATTTGTTAGAACCCCCAAAATACTCAAAAAATTGTTTGTTTTATAAGGATTCCGTAAAACTTAAAACAAATTATCATAGATTTACAAGGTATAATTTCATAAGAGATTGCATCTAGAATCAATAATACTTTTAAATGATTTGATTTGCGGTAAGATTTACAATCAAACACAACGAGTTTGATAGAGCCAGCTCTCTAGGCTTCTTGAGCAAATCCAAGGAGTTTACAACAAAATTAGGCGAGATAATACCTAAACTCTAAACTCCTAAACAAACTTTATGTACCAAGTGATACCTCAGCTAGTACTAACTCTCTATTATACATTTTAATCTACACAAGCACAAAACTCCAAACCAGGCCATCCACCTTCTCCGGCAACTCTACTCCGTCAGCTAAGCCTCTCGAAGCAACCAGTTTCACGGCGAGCGTTGGATTCGAACCGTACTTCTGCCTCGCTTCAGCAAAGCTCGCAGCAAGAAAAATTTGCATCCATTGATCAACTCTTGTTCTCTCTTCTTCGCCAGATGACCAAGAAGCCACCAGAATCTGAACAATCACATCGTTATCAATCTCTAGCTGAGTTTCGGATCCAAAGCACTTGCGAAATTGTGAATTAGTGTGATTTTGAATGTGCGGCTTGAACGTCACTTTTCCGTCTACCTGCTCAATGAAATCATTGAACCAAGCTTTTGCGTCCTCTGTTTCATGACTAACGCCAACTTCTGTCTCATTCACAGGAAGATTCAGATCCAAATATGAACGTTGGGCCTTCTCTGCACGTTGCTCTGTTTCTGGCTCATGGTTTCTCTTATTTAGCCCAATGTGATTGTTATTGCGACGTCTGGAAGCTCCAAAGAGTGAGAAAGATGTTGAAGAGTGAATATATAAAAGCATTGTAAAATGTGGATATAATAATGATTAGTGCAGATTGAACAAGGAAATACTCAATCATATGATTCATCTGTTTCAGGAGTGTTGAAGAGAGAATGGTATGGAGAATTAAAGAGTGATGTTTCTTACTGTCTTTGTTTACAGTTTCTTACTGTCTGTGTGATTCTATCATATTTTACCTCACTAATCACCAGCTTTGGAGTGGTATTGTATTGTCCTACGGAGAGCTTATGTGACTCCACCAGTAGCTTTCTTGCTTCTGAGGTTAGCTGCAACAGATAATTAAGACACCGAAAAAGATGGTTAAAAAAAAAATACAAGACTTTCGTCCACGGCATGGTGAAAAAAAATGTGTATAAAGTAACATTCATCCGACCAGAATCTGTTGCTAGTACAAGACTTACGTCCACGGCATGGTGAAAAATACGTGAATTGGTGTCTTCAGTGCTTCTGCCACATGAGTATGTCCTGAAATGGCGATTCTCAAGTTTAATTACCATTCGAAGTGAAATCTATGATAAGTCAGGAAGCCAGAAAAAACAAAACATATCAATGGTTCACATCCCAAGCTGTGAATGACATTGCAGATGTAAGATAGTAGAAAGTAATTCAAAAGATGCTGAAACTGACCATATGCTGAAGGATTGGCGATAATTGCATCAGTCTTAAAGAAGATCCCAGAATCTAGATCAGGTTCTTTACATGCGGAAGAAGAGAATATATAGTGTCCTTTATTTGGTTTCGTTGAATTGGAATCTCTGAAGGGCTTGATGGCAAAAATCCCTTGTTCTTAACCATATCTGTACACAAACAACATAGCAAGGAAACCGGTGAATTGCTAATAACTTTTAAAGCTAACCAACAAAGATGACGAAAGAAGGAGAATGTTTAGGAGATACATACAACCGGCTAGCACTTTTGGGTCTCCGCCTAGAGGATAGAACTCCAATCCAGCAGTCAAAATAAACTCTTTAAAATTTGCATGTGTTGCAAGTCTAATTCTATGCCCATAGTCCTGCATAAATAAGATTAAACATTTAAGTTTAGAACTTGTTATGAACATGAAATAAGAATGAGGAGACATATACTGCAACTCCACTGAATTCACACCAATCTACGGACCTGAAGCCGTTTGGCTATTGCAACAAAAGGTTGAACATCTCCGCGTGTTCCAACGATAAGTATGACAATCTGCATAGGTGTAAAGCATCGAAGAATGAATAATTAGTCTTGTAATTGAACTACCATATATTAGACTGAATTTACAGTAGTTTTTTTTTTTAACTTTATGGATTCCTTATTCGAATTCTCACAAGTAAAACTGATTACCAGGAAGCCGAAGGAGAAGAGGAGGATGACAGAGAGAGAGATGGAGACGGCTGAGAGCTCGACCTCATCGATATGGCCGATGAAGAATTGAAGATATTGGTGGTGGATGTAACGCCATGCTAGCAGATGATGTTGAAACCAATGATAGCAGCGATCATCCACATCTTGGCCGTCTCGGTAGACAAAACCCGCTTGAAATCTCTCCATGTTCTCGTCGAAGGAGAATCCTCCTCAACCGCGCCATCGAAAAACGGCGTTCTAATTGGTTTCATCTTTTTCCGAGTCTCAACACAGAAAACTATAATAAAAATCTACATTTATTGAAATTGGTGTAGATTGAATATTGACCGGTTTTTATTTATTGAAGAGTCAAAAAGAGAGGAGACGAAAGTTTTGAAAAAGTTCGAAGTTTGTTAAAAGAAAAAAACAATTTAAAGCTGATGTGTTATAAACAAACTCAACAGTCTTTATATAGTAAATATAGATTTTATAATTAGAGATCTAAATGAATTACCAAAAAAAAAAAATCATGAAAAACCAGGCGTGATTATTGTTAGAAAAACAAAAACTAATGTCATTTGAACGGACAAGATAATTTCAAAGATGAGAATGTCATTTCATAAAATCTAAGCCGTCTACCTCTGCTGACGTGTACGTTTTGCATCACGTGTTTCCTTGTCTCAACGAAAAACCATCGGACCGAGAACAAGTCGGGGCTCTCCTTCTTTCACCGGCATCCGTCGCTCTTTTCTCCTCCGTCTTCGTGTTTCCTTTTCCGATAAGGACGGACCATTAGCTATAGTTTGGCGAGGACTCAAGAGTTTTAAAAATCCCTAAATTGATCGATTTCCCGACAATATATATAAAAAAAACAGCCGGTTCGGAGTTGATTACAGCCTGTGGAATGCTTTCGACTTAGTCAGCTGCTCCGATTCTCTATATTCGAGGTGATTGATTAGTCTCTGTGTTAGTATTCTGTCAGAAAAGTTCGGATTAGCTTTGATATATTGATCAATGAAAGGAGTAGAGATCACATAGGCCAAAATTTCATGTTTTTTTCTTTCGGTTTTTCTCAAGTTACGAAACCATCTTATGATCTGTGTCAAACCTAACGACCAACTACTTTCAGCTGCTTTGCAATTTAAGATTGCTTTGAACTCAGTTCTTGCAATCGATTGAATGATTCTAGGTCCTTTTGTGCTATGTCGAGCAAAACCCGGGATATGCTGGAAGGTTTCGTTAAAGATACTTCTTTTAATTGGCTGCTCGGGAAAAAAAGCTCCTTCGATGAAGAAATCGAGGAAATGGGAAGGTCCCCATCTGCTGGCACCAACTGGATTCCTGAGCTTTCTCCTGTCGCCAATGTGGTTGTTCGCAGGTGTTCCAAGTAAGTAACCGACTAACCGTTCATTGATAAGAATGTACAGGACTCATAAGGGTATGTCTTGTTTGAGCAGTCTAGGCTTTGATCAAGATAAGCTAGATTAGTTTGTCCAAGAGTGAGTTTAGCTATAGGTTTCACAAGGACGAGTTCTAACTAAAGAGGCATTTACAGAAAGTTTTTGGGTTCTCGTTATAGAAACTATAGCCGCCCCACGTTTAAGACATATTCTAATGCAAGCGTTTGATGCAAAGTAAGGTTATTGATCCGTCTTTATATGTGTGTTGGGTATTGCTGTTGATGCAGAATACTCGGTGTTTCTGCAAACGATCTGCGAGATAGTTTCAAACAAGAGGCATCTGAATCTCTGAAGCAGCCCTCTCTATTTGCAAGGAACTTTCTAGAGTACTGTTGTTTCAGGGCGCTTTCACTGTCTGTGGGGGTAACAGGTCATCTAGCCGATAAAAAGTTCCGGCGATTAACCTTTGACATGATGGTCGTCTGGGAAGTCCCTGCTGTTGCTAGCCAGGCTTTACTCAGTGTAAGTCTCCTTTTCTTGTTTCATTTTGTTCTGCAATCCTTATGTAAATCTTTTCCTTTTATTAGCTTCTTTGTCCTTTTGAAACAGGTAGAAGAAGATGCAACAGTTGGTTTAGAAGCCTTCTCGCGGATCGCACCAGCTGTTCCTATAATAGCTGATGTGATCATATGTGAAAACCTGTTTGAAATGCTTACTTCATCAACGGGTGGTCGGCTTCAGTTCTCTGTTTATGACAAGTACTTATATGGGCTTGAAAGGTAAACTCTTTTATCCTCAGAAGCCAAGCTCCTTTGTCTAGAATCGTTTTGTTGGCAGTCGTTTAATCTTTCTGTCTTTTGATTTGTAGAGCAATAAAGAAGATGAGGACTCAGTCCGAATCGTCTCTGCTTTCTGGTGTTCGATCAAAAAAAGAGAAGATTCTGGATATAGACGGGACGGTTACTACACAACCAGTTCTTGAACATGTTGGAATATCAACATGGCCAGGTATTGTTCGTAATATCTCAATAGTCACGGTCTTGGCATGTGAACGTACCGCTCACTTATTTTTGCCACAATACTATTCAGGTCGCTTAATCCTGACGGATCATTCACTATATTTTGAGGCCTTAAAGGTCGTGTCTTATGACAAACCAAAGCGTTATGACCTATCTGAAGATCTCAAGCAAATAGTTAAACCTGAGTTAACTGGTCCTTGGGGCACTCGGCTTTTCGACAAGGCCGTTTCTTACAAGTCTATATCTCTGTAAGGCCTTGTTCTTTTTGCTTTAATTCGTAATCTCTTGTTCAAACTGGACAATGATCTGTTTTGTGAATGACCTATTAACATCTTTTATTGGATCTCTTTTCTAGATCAGAACCAGCGGTAATGGAGTTCCCAGAGCTTAAAGGCCACACACGCCGTGATTACTGGCTCGCCACTATACGAGAAATTCTATACGTTAACAGATACATAAACAAGTACAAGATCACAGGTTTGGCAAAAGACGAAGCACTCTCAAAGGCTGTACTTGGCATTATACGTGTGCAAGCAATCCAAGAACTCAGTTTGACAAATTCCACGTGTTACGAAAATCTTCTCCCGTTCAGTCTCTGTGATCAGCTTCCTGGTGGAGATCTGATTCTTGAGACGCTTGCAGAGATGTCTACTTCGAGAGATCTCCATCGATCAAACAGATCCAAAGATACAGGTTACACAACTTCTTATCATCAAATTGATTTATACGTAATGATGATATTTTCTTGATCTTTGACCAAGAGTGTGATGACTGAAAGCGTGTGCGTTATCAGGGAAATTACAGTCATCGGCTTCAGACATGGTTTCACAGCTTGGTTCTGTGTTTGGAGGATCGAGTCCAAGGAGCAGAACTAAGGAGACGAGTAGTCTTGTGGTAGGTGAAGTATTGGTTGGAGACGTGAATCCATTAGAGAGAGCGGTGAAGGAGTCGCGTAAGAACTACGAGAAGGTAGTGCTTGCGCAAGAGACGATCAATGGAGTCAAAATGGATGGCATTGACACTAACTTAGCCGTGATGAAGGTAACCAAAAATAAGAACAAAATTTTCAAACAATGAGATCTTGAATCCCGTTTTATAAAACATTTATCTGCTCTCATTTCTTCATTTATTTGCAGGAACTGATGCTTCCTGTAATGGAAACCGGGAACCTGATTTTGTCTCTCGTGTATTGGGACGATCCTACGAAGTCTGTTGTTTTCTGTCTCTTGTCCAGTTTAATAATTTGGAAGGGATGGCTTGTTTATGTCTTTGCTCTCGCGTCTCTCTTCTCTGCAATCTTCATGGTTCTCACAAGATTTATCAGCAGAGAAAAGCTCATGGTCGAGCTGAAAGTAAGCGCTCCTCCACCTATGAGCACAATGGAACAGCTTTTAGCGGTCCAGAACGGGATCTCGCAGCTCGAACAGAACATTCAAGACGGAAACATCGTTCTTCTCAAGTTCCGAGCTTTGTTGTTCTCGATTTTCCCTCAGGTCTGTCTCTGCCCTCTTAAACTTTTTTTTTAACACACACAGTTCTCCTACCGCCATGTTTAACTGTGATTTGAAACCTCTCTATTTCAGGCGAGCCAGAAGTTTGCAGTTGCGATGGTGGTTGCAGCTATAACGATGGCCTTTGTTCCAGGACGCTACTTGCTTCTGGTGGTGTTTGTGGAGCTTTTCACAAGATACTCGCCACCGCGAAGAGCGAGCACGGAGCGGCTGATGAGGCGGTTAAGAGAGTGGTGGTTTAGTATACCGGCGGCTCCTGTGATCCTCCATCATGATAAGAATGATAAGAAAAAGAAAAGATGAGAGAACGACCGTTTTTATAGTTGCACTGGCGGTATTGTTGTAGTGTACATTTGTATGCAATTGTTTTTGTGTGTAAATAAGTAAAATCTTGTGAGCTAAATCCTGAATTTAATAAAAATTTATACAAATTTGCTATAAAGAGGATGTTTGTAACCGCTTAAAACTCTTATTGAGGTTTGAGGCATGCCGGAAGAAGAGTATTGTTTATACTCTCTATTATCTATCTTTTACATTGTTTTTTTTCAATCATCTAAAATTTATTAGTATAGTTTCGAAAAAGAAACCACTGAACCAAGAAAATGGTCACAGAAAACATTGTTTCGAGTACAAAGTAAATGTCTAATGCCAAAATTTATTAGTCCATTTTGTGAACCTTCGATTAGAAATAAATAAATATCAAAATTTATTTTCAAAATATAAAAAAATGTGTTTTCGTGGGAAAAAAAATTGGACATTTAAAAGTCGCGAAACTCCGTCAAGCCATCGAACCCAGAAGAGGAAGAAGAAGAGAAAGAGCTTCTCATATTGGGCGCGAAATAAAGTGGATCATCAAAATTCGCAAACGGTTGATTCCCGCATAGAAAATTATCGGTTGGATTCGCCGGCGGGAAAATCGAAAACGGTGAGAAGTAACCGCCGTAGTTAATCCCCGACGCATCGTACATTGACTGAGGAGGTGGCGGCGGCGGCGGAGGGTGAGGTGGTGGAGGAATACCCACCGCTGAATAGGGAAGAGACGAATTGACCTGTCCATGTTCTCCGATGTTCTCATCTGTTGTGATCACCGACGACGATTCGCTATCTTCGCAAATCGTCGCGTTATTGAAGAAAATCCCCTTTCCGTTACCAGCTCCGGCGCCGGAATAGCTTCTATTGTAGCTGTTGTTATGGCCACCGCTGCAGCGATTCCGATTGATTTTCCTGTCGACGGTGAGATCAGAGACGCTCCGGTTTATCGATTTCCCTCCACGATCCGTTGTTGCGCTGCCGCCGGAATGTTCGTCGGAGCGAGACATTCCGGTGAGTTTTTGAACAAGAGCCATGAAATCTTTAGGATTAGTGTGTATAATTTTGGGGGTGTTTGTGTAGATGATGACCGGCTGGCGAGGCTTCGCGGCGGCGGAGGATGAAGACGACGGAGACGGTGGTTTTTTTATAACGTGCGATTCTTTGTTAAGTTTTAGCAACGGAGATGGTGACGGCGACGGAGGATAAACGATTCCGACGCCGGCACCAGAGTTGTCATTAGGTTCTCTCTTTGGATGGTGGTGGGGATGAAGGTGGTCGTTGATCGTTGAGCTCATTTAATATAGAAAAAATTAAAGAAGTAATGTTTTTGATTAATTAAATAATGAATCATATAACTAAACAAAAAATTATTGAAAGTAAAACAAAATGACAATATTTAGCTTCATTACTCTGTGTGATTTGTGGGAGATGTTGAAGTGGAGGAGGAGAAGTGGCTTTATAGGGTTCTTTTGTTGTCTCTCTGTGAGCCACGTGTGAATATGTCACGTGTTCTAAGTGGGTACTTTACGCCACGTATGAAGGTTTTTCTCTTTTATGTAATTATAAATTAGTTTTCAGGCTTTTTGATGTAACGGGTATTTTGTGTTTTGAGGCTAATACAGTTAAGAAATATACGCCACTAGATTGCTGAAATCCAGGTTTAAACTTAAAAACGTGATAATTAAGGTAGGATTCCTTTAGATAATTGGTGGAGAAAAATATGGATCTCATAGATAATCACATATTTTTTATTTTTATTTTTTCATTTTTGATGTTTAGCTCCGTTATCTATAATGGTGGAGTAATAAATCGTTTTTGCCAGTTGAGGACAAGAAAATAATCGAACTGTCATTTTGAACGCAATTAGGATTGTGGGCCAATTAAACCGTACCGCCATAACCACTCTCTCATTCGGATCCGATCAACCTTTCGGGTTTATAGAAAAATGTGTTAATGTCTGAAAAAGACTTTGAATCGAAAGTATTTGAAATTGCATATGTAGATGGATTTGTAGGATTACTACTGACATTCTTTTTGTTTAAAACTGTATTGTTTGAAATTAAACCATCTCTCACAAGTGTTTGCTTCTCTTCAATAAATTTCTACTAGCAAACATCCTTACTCAGTTTTCTTGTGTGCCCGATCGAAAGTAATATACATACCGCTTGATGTCCAGTTCTGGAATTTAAGGAGAGCTTTCAAATTTAGAATAGACCTTAAGCCAAAATCTACGATTAAAGTTGACTAACCTTTGAGAAAATTTAACCCTCTTTAAAGTTTTGCTTGAGATCATCGTCACACGCTCTATCTGTATTCCAAAGGCGCAGAGGAAGCAGGACACGGTAACACAACGAGATAGGGGGACTAAGGAGGAAACTTAACGGATTGCGCATGGCCGTCAAGATCTTGGTTTGTCTTTCTTGGGATGTTGTTTGTAGCTGTGCCAATGGTGGTGGCTTAAGTTCTTGTGGATCAGTTGATGGCTAAATACTCAATGCCATTTGTTTCCATTAAATCTAGATGTGAAGCTTTGTAAGCAAACTCGAGAAAAAACACGGAATCAGGGAGAGTGGGAGACAGAGAGTCTCTTTCATCTTACTAAAGAAATATTTTTCTATTGTTTTTAATACAAATGTGTAATGCGTTGAGCTAGTTATTTTTTACGTATAGTTTTGTAAAATCGGTTTTTTTATTTGTCAAATGTGTTTAGTTTATACCTTTTTTTGGTGGGACTCATAAATAAAGGATTGTCTGTACCAATTATTTATCGGGCACAAGTTGTATATTAATATGACTCAAGCAATGCTGTCCAACTTTAGCAACTCCATAATTCACATTTTTTTTCTTAGGGCTTTTCTTTCAACAAGGCCATGATTTGTACTATTCACTATTGGTAAAGATTCAAAATTTAGAATCGACATTTTTTACACATATACAACATGTTAGATCTAACTTCTTAGATAAGAAAATGGGATCTACATATGTGAACTTGTGAAAGGACCTCCACTTTCAATCGCATTAAATAAAACGAACAATAGGTCAATAATTAGGGCCCCTCTAAACTCTTTTTCAACCTTTTATTCGGTTCGTATTAATTTAATAACAACAAAATATTTATGGATTTGGAGTCGGGTAACGACGTCTAACTCTAAACTATATAACTAAACCCTAATAATTCCAATTGAACCAAATCCTTTAAACCAATGTTATTTAACTTATGTTGCTTGAATGGGAAGTATGTGGATTTTAAAACTTGTTTTGATTTTAGATCTGAAAAATTTGTAATGTTTGAGAGAAAGTTTTTAAAACTTCAGAAAATTTGGAAGTAAATGCAATGTTTGCATGAGTTTGGGGGTTTTTTCAGTGGGCTCCTGTCTTTAGAGCATATCCATCGGTAAAACATGTAAAAGCCGTATCTAAAAAAAATTATATTAATATTTTAATAAAATTTAAAAATAGATAAGTTTCAGATTTTTTAAACCACTTGTATGTATACATATGTCACCAACGTTCCTTAAAATCTCTTAAAAACGTATCTGAAATTGTTTAAACAAGATACGATTGTTTCTCTCTCTAACTTTTTCTTTTTTTAATAATTTTTTTTTACTTAGATACTGGGTAAAAACTTCAAATCCGACTTTCATTTACTTCCAAATTTTCTGAAGTTTTAAAAACTTTCTCTTAAACATTACAAATTTTTCAGATCTAAAATCAAAACAAGTTTTAAAATCCACATACTTCCCATTCAAGCAACATAAGTTAAATAACATTGGTTTAAAGGATTTGGTTCAATTGGAATTATTAGGGTTTAGTTATATAGTTTAGAGTTAGACGTCGTTACCCGACTCCAAATCCATAAATATTTTGTTGTTATTAAATTAATACGAACCGAATAAAAGGTGGCCTTATTACATGAACCAGATTAAATGGGTTGGGTACGACTTACGATTAAAAAACCGAGCAACTTAAATATGAAAAGTTTTCGGAGTATTTTAATAGGATAGGCAGTAGGCAGTAGGCAGTAGTTAAATACTCTAATTGATTATTGAATTATATATGAAGATCAAAAATTAATTTCTGTTAGAAGAAAATGACAATATTTATCATTTGACGAAGAATATATAACGTTAAAACAAAATGTGCCGCTCAGATCTAATCATCATCAGTCACGCCACTTTTAGATAATCGGAAAAGTCAACGGTGAAATTGTCTGACTATGACTAGTGAAATTGAACAGTCATTAACAGGCGGCAGGCAAATCGGACGGTCAGTATTTTTCTCGTTTTTTACGAACGGTCGTGATCTCTTGAAATACTAATTTATGACATGGAACCAAGTAAGCTTTATTAAACTATACGATAGTGGAGTCTTTAAAAATTAAACATATCAATTCGAGGCGATGACAAAAAAAGAAAGAAAACATCAATCTGAGGTGTTGACCAAGATAAAAACCATACAGTAATATTCTGATATTTTTTATTATATACAAAAATATTAAACCCTTTTTCTTATCAGAATATTTATGGCTATATATAAAATTTGGCAGAGGTTATCATTGTATGTCGTCAATAAGAAGCCTTTTGAAGTCTCTTTCTTTGTTTTTCTTCTGCATAAATAAAATAAATAATAGGCAGAATTTGTGGGAGGTTTTTTTATCTTCTCACACTGTTCATTTTGTCTAAAGATCCGTTACCAGAAGCTGAGAGTTACCGACAAGTAACTTGGGAGATCGAAATTCTTGTCTGAGAGGACTTTCTTATTCGAAACTTCGTCCCAGAGGCTTTTCAGATTTTCCCAGAAAGTTTGCTGGATCTGTTAAGTTTGTTGAAGAAATCAAATGCTGGGTTCAAAAGAAGAATAAGCACCGCAAGGAAAAGTTTCTTACTTTTGTCTGCGCGTAAAAATTTCAGATTCCAAACTTAACTCCGAAAGCTTTCAGATTTTCCCGGAAAAAAAAAATCTGTTTTTAATTTCCCTTGACTGACCATGGATCCTTGAAGAAGCTTGAAGGCAATTTGAAGCGATGGTTCGGAGAGTAAAGAGGAAAGGTCTCATAAACACAGAAGCTGCAAGAGAGTTTCTCAATCATCTAGTTGCAGAGAGACATTCGCTGTTGTTGCTGCTTCCTTTGGTCTTAGCTTTCTGGGCAATAGAGAGATGGGTCTTCGCTTTCTCCAATTGGGTTCCTCTCGTTGTTGCTGTTTGGGCTTCTCTTCAGGTAATTTAGCAAAATAATTCACCTTTTTGTAATTTATTGCTTTCTGGATTCAAGCTTACAAATTGATAAAGTCATTTTCTTGTTTTAGCTTGTCCCTTTAATGGTTCTTGCTAAACCACCGGTTAATTTCATGATTCATGGATACTATAGAATCCTCAGATAAAGTTGGAAGCTTTATGCTTTTTGGTCTATACCTGACTTTTTACAATCTTTCCATATACACACATAGTCTGATCTTTCACTCATGAGGTAGAGAGTTACGGAAGAGTTGCAATTTTTAGTAGTATATGAAATCGAAGCTTTGTCTTATGTAATTGATGTAGTAGCTAGAGTTTCAATCATGTGTTTGTGTTAAATTGGTATAATTTCAAGAGCTATAGTTAATTTGTTCATATGCACACATCTGAGCATAAAGTTAGGGTACTAAAGTTAAAGTCTTGCTGTGTTCATATGTTTCTCTGCAGTATGGAAGTTACCAAAGGGCAATACTTGCAGAAGATCTAACTAAGAAGTGGAGGCAAAACGTGTTCAATGCGTCGGTGAGAATTTCTGTTATCCTATTTTGGTTTTGTTTTCTTCCTGGGGACTTCTCATTCTGTTTGCTAGATGTTATAAGACTGCCTCGATTGTTTTTGTGTGCAGACGATAACTCCATTGGAACATTGCCAATGGCTGAACAAATTACTGTCTGAAATTTGGCTAAACTTCATGAACAAGAAACTCTCTCTAAGATTTGCGTCTATGGTAGAGGTGAGATTCATTCTTAGCTATGCTCTTTGTGCTCTCATTAATTCGAGATTCATAATTCGTTCTAAAACCATCAACATTTTGATCCTTTTTTCTTAAAACGCAGAAACGATTGAGGCAACGAAGATCAAGACTAATAGTAAGCACTCTTTCACCCTTATCCATGAAAAGACCTTTAAAAGACTTTGCACTCAGTCAGTGATGCTAAATTTGTATCGGTTCTCGATAGGAAAATATACAATTGGTGGAGTTTTCTCTTGGCTCCTGCCCTCCTTTGCTGGGACTCCACGGAACATGTTGGTCGCAATCAGGAGAACAGGTTTGATTACTTTGTTGTCTTAAAATGCAAATATTCGAAGAAAAAGGTTGGATTTTTGATTTTACTATTTTGTTTTTCTTTTCTCTTGTGGTTTAGAACATCATGCGATTAGATTTTAACTGGGACACAACGGATCTAAGTATCCTGCTGCAAGCCAAGTTGTCCAAACCGTTTAACCGAACAGCAAGAATCGTTGTCAACAGTCTTTGCATCAAAGGCGATGTAAGCAAAAAGTTTTTGCTTGCCTAAAACTCATTTGAGTGATTTTCTCGATTTATATACAATTTAACAAATCTTTTTTGCAGATTCTGATCAGACCGACTCTTGAAGGAAGAGCACTACTCTATTCCTTTGTATCGAACCCTGAAGTTAGAATCGGAGTTGCTTTCGGTGGTGGCGGTGGCCAATCTCTTCCCGCGACAGAGCTTCCCGGCGTATCCTCCTGGCTCGTTAGTTTCTTCTACTTTCACTTAATTCAATAGCTTTTACCGCGAAAAACAGTTACAAAGGGTAAAACGGTAATTCTCACTCTGTTTCAGGTCAAGATCTTAACGGAAACGCTGAACAAGAAGATGGTGGAGCCACGCCGGGGATGTTTCTCGTTACCGGCGACTGATCTTCACAAAACAGCCGTCGGAGGAATCATCTACGTAACCGTCGTCTCCGGTAGCAATCTTCACCGCAGCGTGCTTCGTGGAAGCCCCTCGAGAAGTTCCGACATTGGAGACGGTAGCAACGGAAACAGCGGCAGTAGCAGCAGCAGAGACAAACCTGTTCAGACATTTGTGGAGGTCGAGCTCGAACAGCTGTCTCGAAGAACCGAGATGAGATCAGGACCGAATCCAGCTTACCAGTCGACGTTTAATATGATCTTACACGACAATACAGGGACACTTAAATTCAATCTCTATGAGAATAATCCTGGGAGTGTCAGATACGACAGCCTCGCTAGCTGCGAAGTTAAGGTATGTCAATGAATTAAAATAGCACTACCAAGTATCTGCCGATTGTTGCCGTTAAATATGTTTCTTCTCTTGGAATGTACAGAAGAAATACGTAAATGATGATCGTTAAAATGTTTCTTCTCTTGGAATGTACAGATGAAATACGTAAATGATGATTCGACGATGTTTTGGGCTTTTGGATCTGATAACGGTGTGATTGCGAAACACGCCGAGTTCTGTGGTCAAGAAATCGAGATGGTTATTCCGTTTGAAGGAGTTAGCTCCGGCGAGGTATATAGATTACATCTTCCTTCTTTTGTTTGTTTGTGTGGTACTCTCCAGTTTTCTCCACCTTAATGTGTTTTTGTTGTTCGTGTTTTAGTTGACTGTGCGGCTACTTCTAAAAGAATGGCATTTCTCCGACGGCTCACATAGCTTAAACAGTGTTCCTTCGAGTTCTTTACACTCACTAGACGGCTCGTCTAGCTTATTCTCGAAAACCGGCCGGAAAATAATCGTCACGGTTCTGTCCGGAAGGAATCTTGTTTCGAAAGACAAGACCGGAAAATGCGACTCCTCTGTCAAGTTACAGTATGGAAAGGTAAGTAATAATATATCTGCATAATTTGTTCTTGGATGTAAAAGTGTGCATTTAATCTAAATATTCCTCTTGTTGTGTGTATAGACTATACAGAAGACGAAGACGGTGACCTCTGCAGAGTGTCTGTGGAACCAGAAATTCGAGTTTGAGGAGTTAGCCGGAGAAGAATATCTAAAGGTGAAATGCTATAGAGAAGAGATGCTTGGCACGGAGAACATCGGTACAGCTACGTTGAGTCTTCAAGGAATCAATAACAGCGAAATGCATATATGGGTTCCTCTTGAAGAAGTTAGTTCTGGAGAATTAGAGCTGTTGATCGAAGCCGTTAGTCCCGAGTACAGCGAAGTAAGTGTTTTTTTTGACATTGATCAACTCTGTTTCTTTTGTATTTTTCCTCATTGATGTTTAGTGTTTTTAATCGCAGGCGGATTCTAGTAAAGGCTTGATTGAATTGGTTCTTGTTGAAGCGCGGGATCTTGTGGCAGCGGATCTTAGAGGAACAAGTGATCCTTATGTTAGGGTTCAATATGGAGAGAAGAAACAGAGGACTAAGGTTGTGTAAAGAAACTGTTCTAGTAAAGAAACTGCCATATGAAGCAAAACAACTTACGGATCTGGGCGTTTTGATGTTTTCCAGGTGATTTATAAGACATTGAATCCGAAATGGAACCAAACGATGGAGTTCCCAGATGATGGGAGCTCATTGGAGCTATATGTCAAAGACCACAACACTCTGCTTCCGACTTCAAGCATCGGTAACTGCGTCGTGGAGTACCAACGGCTAAAGCCCAACGAAACCGCCGACAAGTGGATACCTCTCCAAGGAGTGACACGTGGCGAGATCCGTGTGAGAGTCACGAGGAAAGTCACAGAGGTTCCGAGACGCGCCAGCGCGGATTCCGGCTCCCCGTTTAACAAAGCTTTGTTGCTGTCGAACCAGATGAAGCAGGTGATGATAAAGTTTCAGAATTTGATCGACGATGGAGATCTTGAAGGTCTTGCTGAAGCTTTAGGTGAACTGGAGAGTTTGGAGGACGAACAAGAAGAGTATCTGGTCCAGCTTCAGACAGAGCAAATGCTGCTTATCAACAAGATCAAAGACCTTGGTAAAGAGATTCTTAACTCGTCCCCGGTTCAAGCCCCGTCTCACTCGCCTTCCAGGTCAGGGTCGGGTTCGGGAGCAGGATCCTATACCCGGAGATTACTACCGGCGCCGATATAGCCAGTCACTTGTTTTGGGATCAACCAACGAAACCATCTATAATTTATTGTATATAGATTGATAGATATGGTAGGGCATTGGATAAAAATGTTCAAAGAGAATTGAGCCCTTTTGTTACACAAGATGTGTAAGTTTCTTTTTATTTTCCATTTGTTATTCAGTAACAACAAAAACGGTTGTAATTGTTTGTAAAAACTGTTGTTCTGCTTCTAGTCTGAGAAAATAATTACAGAAGAAAAATATTTTTTTTTGTAAGATTCCTAACTTGTGAACAATAGCCTTAAGAATAAACCCACATGTTACAAGCATTTTTGTTTAAAAGGAGTTAACCGATAACAATCAACAGATATGATGAATAAAACCGGACTAAACCATAATTATTTCATCTTACATGAAGGATCGAAGAAAATGGCACATGATGCAGTTTTAGATGACTTGGTCATTCTCTAAGATTACAAAAGCTTTTGATTTTCAAGTTAACCTCTACGGCTCTAACTAGTGACTCTGAATATGGTTACAAAGAGCCTATGCAGAACCAGCTGGGACAGTGGCTGCATTGGAGCTAGGCTGAACCGAAGTGGCTGGAGCGGCGGTCAAGCTCGGATCTTTCAGCTCCGGTGGAGCAATGGGAACTGATGCGCCGGATTGTGAAAGAGGGGTTTTTGCAGCCGCATCTAGAGCGGGTTTCTGGAGCTGATTCGAGTTACTGAAGTCGTTGGAAGCGCTGTGAAGTTGCTGTAGCCTGTAATCAGTCTCGGGCCGTCGGCAAATCTTTCTCAAGGGAACGATTTCCTGCTGGGGTAACGGAAAAGAAATCCAAAATAGGTGAGTGAGGAGAGTGTTGCTTCGGATCCCCAAACCATGAAACCAAAATGGAGCTGACAGGTAAAAAAAATGGTTAGAGACATAGAGAGAGATATGATTGTCCAACCTCAGACTGGTCGTGGCTGTAACGCACCAAGAACCTACAACGACAGCCTCTGACATCGTGCCTTCTTCTTTGTGCATCAAGAACAATGGCGTCAAAGTAAAGAGCTTGATCTTTGCCTTCCTGAAGATGTTTTACAATGAAAAAATATGTTTCCATCGCGGATAAACTCGAAACTAGTTCATAACATACATCAATGGGATACTTAAAGAGAAGAGAAAGAAATTCCAAAACCTGGAAACAAAGTACGAGATCTCCAGCCAGAACTGCAACACATTCTGATGCTTCACATGGGAGTGACCGTTGTCTCACGTGCTTCTTAACGTTTATCCATTCGTCTTCTTCGACTTCAAAACCCGCAAATCGAACCTGCACTTCCTGATATACCGCAACAACAGATGTATTTGTTCATTAGCAAAACGAAGAAGGGGAACAAAGAAGTTCAACTAGAAACTGGTTAGGAATTACCGGATCACCAATCTCCAAGTTTCTATGAGCTAGGAAAGCTTGCACATCATACCTGTAAGTAAACAAAAGAGATACATACATTAGAGAACAAAACACTGAAATGTAATGAGATTGAAGAAAAGTACTATAAGTCAGCCAAAAAATAAAGAAGGTCCAATGCAAGAGAATCACCATGCACCATCCCTGGCAGATTTGGCTTCAAATTCCAAGTAAGAATTGTCTGAACCACTCCTCATGACACCGGGAACTAAGAGAATAAGCAGTAAACAATTACAAAAGTGGCATCTATGCAATAAACGCCATACTGATCTAGACTAATGGATAAGAAAAAAAGATTGAAAAACCCAATGGAACCTATTCGAACGAATAAGCTTCTCAGCCTAATTGATTGCGAGTAGAATATATATATATAAGGCACCTAAAATACCAGAAGGGGCAGGCGTCATGACGGGCAAGTTTCCAGGCATATGAGTGGTTTTAGGACCGGCTAATGGTTGAAGCACATTTCTCATCTGGTTTGTCACATCCACACCACGTGGCATGGATGATACATTTAGCTTCCCAGGAGCTTTATTTCCCCTTGCTCTTAGAGCATATCTCTTATTTTGGAACCAGTTCCAGATCTGTGATGAACAAAAACAAACATCCCACTAAGTTTAAAAAGGGAACTCCAAAAGAATCTGTCCAGAGAAAAACTTATGAATCGTGATAGAAGAAGAAAAAAATCAGTACTTGTTTGAACTGCACAACAATCTTCCCCTTCCGCTCCACTGTTTCACTGAGACAGCAAACAAAATGTAATCACCTCTTAGATGATAAACACACAAAGGGTGCTTTCAAGAACCAAGGAATTGAGCTACAACGAGAAGTATATACCTAAACTTATCAGCAAGAGCTTCAAGAATATGTCGACCTGGCATTGCTGTATTATGCTGTAGCAAAATTGCTTCCATCTCCGTTACCTTGTAAACATTGAAGATTAGCCAACGCAAACAAAGATAAAACCTCCTCCAAAAACTCACAAAACCATATAGATTAATAAGTGTTTAGTAAAAAAATTTCAACACAGCAGATAGATGGAAACACTTATGAGCTAATGGATTTTTCATAACGTACATCGAATGACATTCAAGCCTCCCGTAAAACTAAAAGCGATTCGCTCAAACAAACAAACTAAGCAAATCCAAAACAAAAACTTGCCTTCTGATTAGAAACCCAAAAGGCAATTCGTGATAGAAATTACAAGACTTTCACAAGAGGAAATATGAATTGATCGATTAAAACTCAGGATCTAAAAACCCTATCATGAACCCACAAAGAAAAGAGACCCAAACTTTCCCAGAACATAGTTTCAGCTCAAGAAGCTCGAAATCCCTCAAGCAACACCAAACACATCACATTACAAAGAGAATAACATCATCAGAGATTTAATCACCTCCGCCATGTTAAATCGGAACGCCGGACCGCCGTTACTGGGAGGCCGACCCATGGTAGGTTCGTCTCCTTCGTCTCACGAGAGTAAGCACGAAGACAGGAAGAACCTAAAAACTGAAAATTGGCGGCAGAAACTGAAATCAATCGGAGCTTCTCTCACTAAAATTTCGAATTTCCGGTGAATCACGCAAGGCCGGTGGTGTGACTCAAGGACAACGAAACCGGTTTTACCAAATCCGGGCAGCACAAATTTCTTCCGCTTATATTTTTTACTGAAGCTCATAACAATGGGCTTTAAAGCCCAATAAACAGGCCCAATATTTGGACAAAAACATATCTTATCCACATGGTCAAGTATTCTTTGATTTTCTAATTTTTTTCCAGCTTATCCGCCTGCAAAAATTTTCTCGGTATCCAAACGATGGCGAAGACAGTTCGCTGAAGCTTTTCTAGATAATTTTTTTCAGTGTTCAATGGCTTTGGTTACGCCTAATATTACGGAAATGCCACTGAGAAGCTCTCTTCCTCTGACCTCGAGCTCTCGCTACTGTTCTTCTCCTTCGCTCCACGCATTGCTATTCTATTCCTTGTCTGCTAAACCCTCGCGTCACATTGTTCGGCCATTCTCTTCGCTCCGCACGAGCGAGCGTAGCAGCAGCAACCACAGGAGCCATAACAACCGCCGATTGGATCAGCGGAATTCTAAGCCCACCCCTCCTTGGATAGACAAGTGGCCTCCCTCATCCGCCGGAGCCGGCGATCATTCCGGGAAGAAAGCTGCCGAACAGAACGGCGGGGCTAAAATTCGCTCGGCGGAGGAGGAAGCTGAAGCGAGACTCCGGTATTTGGAGAAGGATAAAGGACAAAGCGCGATTGAGAGGATCGTTCTTCGGCTACGGAACTTGGGATTAGCCTCGGACGATGAGGAGGATGCGGAAGATAACGAGGGAGACGGAATTAACGGCGGAGACGTGAAGCCGGTGACTGGAGAAGAGAGATTGGGGGATTTGTTGAAGAGAGAGTGGGTGAGGCCTGATATGATGCTGGCTGAGGGAGAAGAAGAGAGTGACGATGAGGATGATGTGTTATTGCCGTGGGAGAAGAACGAGGAAGAACAGGCGGCTGAGAGAATAGATGGAGATGGAGGAGCTGCGTTTAAGAAGAGGAGAGCTAGAGCTCCATCGCTGGCGGAGCTTACCGTTGAGGATTCAGAGCTACGGCGGCTGAGGAGAGACGGAATGTATCTGAGGGTGAGGATCAGTATACCAAAAGCTGGGCTTACGCAGGCAGTGATGGAGAAGATCCATGATACGTGGAGGAAAGAAGAACTTGTGAGGCTCAAGTTCCATGAAGTTCTTGCTCGCGACATGAGGACGGCCCATGAAATAGTTGAGGTAAAAGATGTATCTTGAATGTTTGAGGAGAGTTTAACATAACATTAGGACGTTAGCTTAATTTGAGGTGCAAAACCTGAAGCTAGATAGCTCGAGTGAGATCAGTTTTCATGATCTATAGAGACAAGAATCACCTAATCTCAACTTAGTTCTGAATTGGGTGAACTTGAGGTCTGTTAGAAATAGAGGAGACGGAGCTGAGCACAACTGTTAAGTAACAAGACTTTGCAAGAGATGCATGTTTATAGAAAACTGATTGTATTTACTCTCTAATGGTGATGCAGCGTCGAACTGGTGGAATGGTGATATGGAGGGCAGGAAGTGTAATGGTGGTTTATCGTGGGCGTGACTATCAAGGACCTTCTGCGATATCTGACCAAATGGCGAGACCTGAAGAAACTCTTTTTGTTCCAGATGTGTCTTCTGCTGGCGACGAAGCAACAAACGCCAAAGATAATCAAAGTGCACCTCCGGAAATCAAAGATCCAATTGTCAGGAACCCGATTCGCAAGGAGAGTATGACGGAAGAAGAAGTTGAATTCAACAGTCTATTAGACAGCTTAGGCCCACGTTTTCACGAGTGGTGGGGTACTGGTGTGCTACCTGTGAACGCTGACTTACTACCTCCTACGATTCCTGGTTATAAGACACCTTTCAGGCTTCTCCCTACTGGGATGAGATCAAATTTGACCAATGCCGAAATGACAAATCTCAGGAAGATTGGTAAAACTCTCCCGTGCCATTTTGCTCTTGGTAAGTTGTTTTCTCATTCCTAGATGAATTTTTTATCGGAGGGTTCTGTTTGGTGTGCCAAAGTTTAAGACTTGAATATGCACTTTACAGGAAGAAACAGAAATCACCAAGGATTAGCAGCTGCTATACTCAAGTTATGGGAGAAAAGTCTGATTGCAAAGATCGCTGTGAAGCGAGGTATCCAGAATACAAATAACAAACTGATGGCAGATGAGATAAAGGTCTATCTTTTCTTTTCTTTTTATTTAATGTTAAAATGTTTGGGGAAAAGTTACTGTTGATATAAAATATTAACAGTCTCACAAATTGATAGAACATAGCAGAAAAGTATCTGTCACTCCCCTTTGTCAAATTTCGTATGGATATATAGGAATATAGAAATCTAATGATTTATACTGGATTTATGTTGATGGAGACCTCACAACTTGGTAATGGGATCAAGTTTTAGAAATGTCAAGAAGTGTTTTGTTTACCTGCTCACCTAATCTTTCTATATAGTATACTGGGTTTTACTTAATCTTCAACGTTAATATCTATACTATAGGAGTAGGGAAACTAAAGTAAATATAAGACCCATGCATATGTATCATAATATGAGCTTGTATTGAATCTGTGGTGATTTTGGGGGAGGATGTGAGTGGCGATTGCTCAAATAGCAAAAAATCAGAAAAGTTTCAGACGGAAGGCTAAGTTTCATTTCTTTCTTGTTCTATTTGTTATAGACATTGACAGGGGGTGTCTTGCTGCTCAGAAACAAGTATTACATTGTAATATACCGTGGAAAAGACTTTCTTCCTTCAAGCGTGGCAGCTACTTTGGCAGAACGACAAGAGCTAACAAAAGAGATTCAAGATGTCGAAGAGAGGGTAAGAACTCGAGACATTGAGGCTACTCAGCCTGTTGGAGACAAAGTTCCAGCGGAAGCTGGCACTCTGGCCGAGTTTTATGAGGCTCAAGCGCGATGGGGCAAAGAGATAACTCCGGACCATAGAGAAAAGATGATTGAAGAGGCTTCAAGGGTCGCGAGTGCCAGAGTTGTTAAACGAATCCAGCACAAACTAAACCTTGTAAGTAGACACCTTTTTTGTTTTCTGCTTGTTAATTTGTAACTTGAAGTCTACTTTGAGATATCTAATGGCAACTGTCATTAGTCGTTTTACTGCATTTAACTTCTCTGTTGGTTTGTGACAGGCCCAATCGAAATTTCACAGAGCAGAGAAATTGTTGTCCAAAATAGAAGCCTCTATGATTCCAAACGGACCTGATTATGATCAAGAGGTCATCTCTGAGGAAGAAAGAATAATGTTCCGGAAAGTTGGATTGAAAATGAAGTCATACTTACCCTTAGGTGTGTCCTGTTATATTAAGAATGAAACAGATGTCACATTTTATATGTATTTAACAGTTTCTTGACATGGACATAACTAACAGGTATCCGTGGTGTTTTCGACGGGGTCATCGAGAATATGCATCTACATTGGAAGCACAGAGAACTGGTGAAGCTTATATCGAAACAGAAGAGTCTTGCGTTTGTCGAGGACACAGCTCGGTTACTAGAATACGAGAGCGGCGGAGTTCTTGTGGCAATAGAAAAGGTTCCTAAAGGATTCGCCCTTATTTACTACCGTGGAAAGAATTACCAGAGACCAATCAGCTTGAGACCAAGAAATCTTCTCACGAAAGCAAAAGCATTGAAACGTTCCATTGCAATGCAACGCCATGAGGTACGAAAATTCCTGAAATTTCTCCACACAAATTGCATTCTATATTCACAACTTGCTTATGAAAACTTCTCTTCGTCGATTATTGCAGGCACTGAGTCAGCATATCTCTGAACTAGAGAAAACAATAGAGCAAATGCAGAACGAACTTGTAAGTGGTGGCTCACTCAACTGGGGAGTTTCAAGTCTAATACACTTTTAAGATCTCTTTACCTTCACAAAGCACGCATGCATGTTCTGCTCTGTTAAATCATTCACTTACTGTTTCTTGCAGACTTCAAAAAACCCATCATACAGTGAATCGGAATGGGAGAACGATGAAGATGATGATGATAATGACGAGGAGGAGAAAGATGATGCGGAGGATGATGGGAGTGATTGGGATGAAGCTGATGGTGAATCTGCAATTTCTAACTTGGAAGAAGCTGATGAACTTTAACGGTGAGACGAGGCGGCCGTCGAGAGGGAGGGAGGGGTCGCAGCTAGCGAGAGGGGTGGCGACGAGCAACAAAACAATCATCCGAGAGGAGTAAGGAAATCGGCATGTGAATGGAGGTTGTTGTCATCATCGAGTGCATTCCATTAACGTCCGTAGCCGAACTTACAACAGTATTCCCTCCGCACCGGATATCACGTCCGCATATGTTCGTTTGCAGCATTTAAAGTTAATTATATGTACCTATATATCGATGTCTTTTTGTCTACCAAGGGATCATATCATACCATTGATATGTATGGGACCGTAATCAATCTAGATCAATATCATTTCGTTAATCTTGATTAAACCTAAACACTATCGATCATTAACGGTTACTGGAATCAATATAATTTTCTAACGTAATTTTTCTCAATTCTTTTTAATATTGCAAAACGTACATTATCTTTAAGTATATCTGATCATGTTGGATTGATGCCACACATTGGTTCTCAGCCAAGTGGACTGGTGTGGAGCTATTGTACCTAAAAACATCCAAAGTCGTCTCAACTCCCTAAAGTCAAGCTTCAAAATGATAAATAACTCGCTAATTAGAGGATGATATTAAATATGCTATTTGATCTAATGTACTAGGAATATCAATAATGGTATTCAAGTCAGAGATATTAGGCTGGTCTCCATCGATTCCAAAGTTGAATGAGATTAGCATTTGTACGAGTTTTGAACACGAAATTTTAATCAATAGTCACTTTCTTAAACCATATATACCAATAAACCTATAAAAACAAAAAAAAATTATGAATGGTCACGCTTTCCTCATTGGGCTGTGTTTGTAGCATTATAGTTTTGTTTGCTTTTAATTTTTCTATCCATAATAATTATATAGCATAAGACAAAACATATTACTATTTAAGCCCACTTATAAGATAAATGATTAATCTCTATATGTGTTTTCAATCGTGTCTGATTAATGGCCATCCGTAATGTAAAAAACGATAATATGTGATTTTGTTCTTGTGTTACGTCTATTAATGTGTCCACTTGAGTGGCTCTTTTCCTCTTTTGCTATTCCAACAAGTTTTTTAATCATATCATTTGTTTGTTACATAGATGATGAACAAGTCAATAGATGATTTTGTTTGTTGAAGTAGCTAAAATTATTTCCATCTGAGAAACTTATGCTCGTGTTAATGTTTATAGGCTGAATATTCTCCTTTTAGATGTGGTGAATCGGAAGTCTTGAAACGATTGGCCAAGTCAATCAGTGACATGGTATGGTCTAAGAACTTGAAGTTTTCCATTTAATCGAGTACTTTTTTAGATTGAAGGAAACCTATCTCTTGTAAAACTTGAAAACTTTTCCATTCAAGATCTTAGAATTCATACTTGTACATTGGCTTCATAGATTTATATTTTTTTTCATCAAAGTCAACATATCTTTATGGTGGTAAACTTTGAAAAACCAAAAAGTGATCTATCTGCATTCTTGAGACCCGCAATCACGGATTTATCACCTTATTTAAAAGTGAGTTATATAGATCATAATAATAATTAGTTGAGATTTTTTCCTCTATTTTGTGAGTAAAATTATTGAATTTAAAATTTATCACTTTGGTCACTAAGTAATAATTAACTGATTTAAATTATTTTATCTCAATATCAAAAAAATAATTGTCGCATTGTAATTTGTTTACTTTATGTGTAAATTTACAGAAACAAAAATCAAATAAAGAAGTTAAAAAAAAAACTTATTTAAGAAGGCAAGGAGAGAAAATAAATTTCTATCCATAATTTTAAATATACATATCAATTAAAAATACAGAGGCTATTATATAAAATGGTTATTTGTTCCTTACCTATAATATAAAACTATGCGCCTATAACTTAGAAACCGATTAATTAGGACGTGGACATGTATGAGAAACTTTTCTCCATTTTGACATACGTATGCACTAATTATATAACTTACTTGACCTCGTAGAAGATCTATGTGTGTGTAATGATACAATTGAGACTGATGGAAGGTTACATAAGAACAAGTTAATAAGAAATTCAAATTTTTACTATATGATTTGAATATCTTCACCATATGGAGTCCATATTAAACGCTTCCTCGTGTGATTGGGGTTGCACTTGAGACGAACTTGAACCATTTTGCATAATATTGGAGACGCCTTGTTGAAGAGGAGAAGGGTTGATATTAGAGATCATCTCTTTCGGGAAACCATAGGAGTTTCTAATTTGGAAAGCCTTGAGCAACAAAGAGTTGATAGGAGATAAAGGCGGACCAAGTAGACTCGTTGTCCACGTTGGAAGATTATTAGCCATGTTCATGTTCATATTGAGACCAGCCGTACTTGTGGTAATGTCTTGTGAATACAGATTGCTTTGCGAATAATGATGAAGATGATTGTAATCGACGGTTGATGAGTTTGAGGTCAGATTCGGAAGCTCGATATCGTCAAACTCATTTGCCATTGATGAGTTTGCATCGCATGGAGATCCAAAAGATGGTTGAGATGATTGAGGTTGCTGTTCTTGTGGTTTCTTTGTTGCTGTGCTCTTTTTGAAAACCCTACACACTACCCATTCCTCCTGAAAATTTAGATGATCAATATTCAAGATCATGTATTAGATTGTATATATTTTTTTGGAAATTGAAATCAGTTATATAGTATTTTGAGCACGAACTGGTACGACCATTTTCTAATGGATAATTTTGTTCAATTTTAAAACTGAATGTAATATGTTTACATGTCCGGTTCGTGGCATGTGTCAAAAGTGCAAAAACACATAGTCCATACCATTTTTTAAGAGTTTAAAATGCATATAATACATGTAGTTTTGTTAAAAAAATTAAGAGTTGATATTGGACGTGGACCCAACCTGAATGTATGTATTGGCGTCAAGTTTTAACTTTGAGTAAGAGAATTGTTCCAAAACTTCAAATTAAGTAGTTTAATAACATTTTCTAAATATTTATGTACCTTAGCGGGTTTGAAGGGTTGTTTGTTCTCAAGCCTATACTCATGCATAACCCAATTGCTTTTCTCACCCTTTGGAGCTCGTCCTTTGTAGAAAACTAGGGTTTTCTTCATCCCAACCAGCACTCCGGTTCGGTAGATCTCTTTATCTTTACCGGTGGTTTTCCAATATCCGGCTTCTGTTGCTCGGTTTGTCCTTAAACCGGTTGGGTATTTCCGGTCTCTTAGGCTGAAGAAGTACCACTCTTTCTCTCCCATTGAAGCCTTGGCTGCACATATGCACAAGTAATCACACATTATTTTAGTCATATCAGAGTCACCTATACATATACATATACGACTAGCAACATTTTTTGGGGATAACTGCAATAAAATATTTTTTAAAATGGGCAACTGCAGTATATTAATGCAAGTATGATAACTAACTATAAGCCATCTAGCTAGAGAAAGAGAATTTATATATGCATATATAGCCTCCAGTCTCCACATGTTTGGTAGGCTAGATGCACCTATATACAAAACCTAATTAATTTACTCTCCCAGGGAAATGAGGAATATCGTTACTAAATCAAAGTAACAAACTAGACTATGGTATGATCAATCCATTTCTTTCCTATTTGCCGAAGACATGATTGATTTTACATATAATATTATTATATATTTTCGAAATTATTGTAGAAAAATACATATAGACAAAAACAATTGAACAAAAGGAAGCATACTCACATATTCTTGCGATTCTATTAGTATTACTACACAAATAAACAGAGATTAACTGAAGATGATATAAACACAGGTGAACACTATACACAACACATATGCTATATAGTATAAATTATTAAAGTATATAGTTTACCTGGCAAATCCCAAGGTTCACACTTGTTGAGATCAACGTCGACGACAGCTTTACCGGTGAATCCTATATCGGAGACTTTCCGACAAAGATAATGCGTTATGAGCTCCTCGTCTGTAGGATGAAATCTAAACCCAGGAGGAAGATTTTCTTCCATTCTTTTTAGTTTGTTGCGTCTCTTTACCAATCTCAATTCGAGGCAACAAAGAAAAAGAATAGTTATATTCTCTCCCTTGAAGAGAACGAAGGAGAGATTGATCAGCAAAAAGCTTTTCAATAATGTGACATATTCACATAGATGGGGTTTATATATTCACATATATAACTAAACTATATATTAAAGTAAGAAATTATTTGTGTACCAAATACCGATCTTGAGGGAGAAGCGGCCACGGGTAGTCTTTTTCAACTGTTGATTATTACAGCTAACATTTTGACAATGCAGTGTATTTCATCCACGCATATACGTACCTATATTTTATCATATTATAAAACATATGTGTTTATATATGACCTTACGTTACATATCAACTGTAGTTGTGTAATAAAATATTTGTCGGCGTATATATTAATGTTCCTTTTAGATTACATTACTATGTTTATAAAATAACGTCCGTCTCAATATCTGCATAAATATATCATTATAGAAACATATTATGTATTTTTGTGAGATTTGCCCAACCAACTTCACCAAATTCTACCCACCGTGAATGAAACCCTAATGCCCAATGTAATGTGAACAAGCGTGCATGGCTTCTCCATTGTTTGGTCGTATCAGCTTTTTTTATATGATATGAAAATTCTAAATCTAAATGTAGACTAACAGTCAAAAATATAATTGTTATGTATATCTGAAATTCATAGCAATTATAGAGAAAATACTTCCAATTCTATCATTGCATGCATTCCTCTTACTCTATTGACGTTTGTCTTTCCGCTTTTTTCTCGCGAATATTATACAAAGAAACATATGATTAAAGATTATATGTTCCAAAAAGAAAACATGCTTATTATAAATTCCAATCGATTTTAGAAGATAAGATTGCGTTGCGATCCTCTTCTTATACATAAACTCGAATTGTATAACTCATATTTTACGTTTAATCGTTTCGTGCAAATGTTTCCTCGATTGTCGGGTTTTTACTGTGTTAGCGAAAATATTGATTTGGTGGACCCGATTTTTTAATTGGTAGATAAAATAAATATGCTAAATCATATATTAATTTGTCTTTCATATAAATTATGTACTCAGAAAACAATAGAAACCACATAATGTCTTTGGTTCTGTCGGTAAATTGTCGTCTTCTTTTTCTCTCAAATAAGCTTCATTTCTGATAATTATAGGGAAAACCAAAAGATGGGATGAATGGCATGGAGAAAAGGTTTTATTCTAAAACAACATGCATGTGTTTTCTTAAGATTGTGTTTTATTTAACCCATTATAGAATATAATTTTTTTGTATTCATATTGGAATTTCTGGTTGAATCATTTTAGAATGATGAAGCCTACGGGTCTTATTTATTCTAAACGTTTAATTATTAAGAGAAGGTTAAAACAATTACTATGGGAGAGTGGTTAAATATCCCACCAACCTAATAGAATGTGTGTATTATATTATAACCACATTAAATTAGTTAATTATTGGTATTTCAAAGCAGATTTTACTGGGAGAATTTTTTGTAGATTGGGTCATACATGTAATAATTAGAATGTCAATCCTACCATTGGAAAAACTTTCACAATTGTATCAATTTATTCTTTCATACTTTTCCATTCCTTGTTTAAGCTTTCTAGAATCCCCACACACGTGTATATATCACATGCATGTTATATGTACATATGCATCAGCTAGTATAACAAATATCTTTTGTGCCCAATTATTAAGATATATAATAGTCTAGCTTAACTAAATAAGATATACTATATAGATGTGGTTAGAAATCTGAAGAACTGTTTTATAAAATGACGGATAAATATATCAATATAGTTTAATAGGTTAATAATGCCTCGTAGTTACTAAATACACTTATCACATTTTCTACCACTAAGATAATAAATATGGATGGAATAGTTTAATTACAATTTGTGTTAGTGTAACTTGTGAGTTTGTTCCTCATATATACTGTATGTAGCTTTCTGAATCACAATACCCTGCAATTGGCATATAAATTACTCCAAATAAAATATGATAATCACCGGAAATTTCACCTTCTAATTATTTTAAAATCATAAGATTGGAGTCCACAAAATCTTCAAATCTGTCTACACATTAGTTTTTATTTTCCTTTTTCCCCGTGTGGATTTCTACAAACCTTGAAAGATCGTGTAAGGCCGTATGTTTTGTCATTATCTATGTGGAAAGTTTGTCTTTTTTTACATTTGTCAGAGACAACAAAAACAAGTTTTCCAAAGTAATTAATTACGACGATGTGCTTGAAGCTTGGGCCAGGTATTGGACCCAATTAAATAGGCCCAAAGTAGTACTTTCGAACAAAGAGGTTCAAAGTCCAAACTAAAAAAATCCAGAAGTGAATCAGGTAGACAGACGACTGAGAAGAGAGAGAGAGAGAGAGAGAGAGAGAGAGAGAAGAAGCAGCAATGGGGAGAAAGAAGGGGTTGCCGGAGTTCGAAGAGACGGCGCCGGATGGGTTTGATCCGGCCAATCCTTACAAGGATCCGGTGGCGATGGTAGAAATGAGAGAGCACATCGTTCGGGAGAAGTGGATCCAAATCGAGAAGGCGAAGATCTTGCGCGAGAAGGTCAAGTGGTGTTACCGCGTCGAAGGCGTCAACCATTACCAGAAATGCCGTCACCTCGTCGAGCAGTACCTCGACTCCACTCGCGGCGTCGGCTGGGGAAAAGATCACCGTCCTATCTCGCTCCACGGTGAGATTCTCTTGTTTATCTGTCCTAGTCGATGATGATTTGCTCAAACACGTTAATTGATTCTCCTTTTTTTCCTCAGTCGGATAACATCTTGCTGAATTAGTCATTTCTCTTCACTCATTTATTCATAGTGTCTCGGCTAATTGATATCTGCAAAACCATTTGATTGAAATTGATTGTGCTGAAAATTTTACTAATGTTGATGATTTTTTCTGTCCAGGTCCCAAACCTGAAGTTGTTGAAGCTGTTGAAGCTGAATAATGCTTTTCGCCTGATCAATCTGAGGTGAGTAAACTGGTTCTGGGTTATGGTTCCTGTTTCTGGAAGAATTCTTTTTTATTTGATCTGTTTTAATAAACTAAAAGAAAATGTAAGAAAATTTTGGCTCGTGTTTTAGTTGAAATGATGATGACGATAATGTTTTTATGTACTAGTATGGGTTTCTCCGGATATGAAACTGTAAGAGCCTTCCTTCATACTTGTCTTTACTAGAAGTATGTTGCCAGTTAATCAAAGAAAGGCAATTTTTTTAATCTCTGTCTATTAGATTAACTAAGTGATTAGTAATCCTTTTGTATTAAGCGGTTACGAAAGAAACTAGAATCTGAAAAGTGTGAATATTTGTAAAACTCGCTTATGAGATGTTGGAGTGGCTCTATTTTGAGGTATTTGGGAATGCCCATGCCCTGGTGGTTAACAGTGTTCAATCTGCTGTGTGTTCTCAAACTTCACCACAAATGCTATTGTGATATTTATGAAAGATAAACATGTTTTGAACCCAACTTGTGGAAAGTTCTGCAAAGTGTTATATGGTCTATGTGAAACCACTTTAGTTGGTGTTTATAAACGATGCCAGACGTTACATCACTAGAAACCGGACTGATGAATATTGTTACTTATCATTTCTTGTTTCTGGTTTCACCTATATAACCGGATTAGTGAGTGATCTTTTTTGTTTTGCTTCAGTGATGCAGGTGACTGAGCTTTTGATACAAGACATGACATGGTCTTTGGACAGTGCAGATTTGCTCTTGTTTTTTTTAGAAATATGTTGTCAGTCTTTGGACTGGTGGATTCGTGTAAGGATTTTACGAGCTTGAGTAATGTATTGAATCTACACTCAAAACATCGATTCTCTCATTATGATACCAAATAAGATCCCTTTTTTTTTTTCCTCTCTTCGTTTCCGGTGGTTTTTTACTTGTCAACTAAAATTCATTGTATAAATCAAATAAACAAGCCATAAACGGATGAGTTTCAATTCAACATCCAACACTTGCAACAACAACAACAAAAAGTTCCAGCGTAACTTCTCAGGAAAACAATCTGGTCTTCCGTGTCTTATTCTTCAGATATGAGATCTATTCTAACATCATAACTCAGTTATCTTCACCACCACCAAAGAGCTTCATCCTCGATAATGGAGTTCTCAGGTACCCTTCAACTTCGAATTTCTTAGGAGAAAGCTCTCTGTATTTCGCAAACTGCTCCTTAGCTTCCGCGTTCTTGTCAAGCAAACTATAGATCATACCTCGACAGAAATACGGTCTGAAATCCTTTGGATCCTCTCTCGTCAGCTCCTCGTAGCTCTTCAACGCTTCATCCACGTTCTTCTGCAAGAACTGTATCTGCGCAATGATCAGCCTCACGTCTCTTATTTCCTTCACCATATTCTCAGCTTCGGCTACAGCTAACGCATCTTCCAGCCTCTGCAGCACCGCGTCTCCTTCCCCGGACCGGTCCATGAGCAATGCGTTCTCGAACAAAGCCTCGAACGAGAGTGGGTTTCGTTGGAGAATTTCCTCGAACATCTGGCGTGCTTTCTCCGGACGACCCATCTCTCCCAGTAGCCTCGCCATTAAGAACTTCCACTCTGTTTCCTCCGGCTGTGCGGTTACTAGTCTCTCCAGGAGCTTGAGGGCTTCTTCGTCTTCCCCGTTCTCAAGCTTCTGCTGAAGGAGTGATCTCAGCGTCTGGACCGCCTCAGGGGTGGAGTCTAGAAGCTCCGTCAACGGCGAATCGGGTTCGCTCTCAGACGAGATTTTCTCTTCTTTTTTCACTTCCTCGAGTGTTTCTTCGGTGGTCGTAACCGGAGATTCGGCTTTCGCCGGCAAAGTTGAGAATTTCCCGGTCATGGTGACAGTAGCGCCGATTAGAATCGCTGATTTGGCGAAAGATTTGAGCTTCTCTGGAAAACAATTACCCGAACAATTCTGATTCGAGCTAGCTCTGATACGCAGAGAAAGAAGATCGCGACGGGGAACAAGAGGTCCGGCGACTGGAGGCGCTTTAACGACGACGAAAGATGAAATCAACGAAGAACATAGTGAGGAGGGAGCTGAGAGAGACGAAAACATGGCTCCACAGTATCGTATCAATGGCTGGAGAAGCGGAAATCAAAATCGATAGAGAGAGCAGCGATTTTCGGATGAACAAGGCGCTGAGTCCACCACCACTCCAACAACCTTCAGTTTTCACTAGGATGTACGTAAAAATATCGGCGGTTAAATTGTAATTTGGGCCTGGTCTCAAATCTTGGGCCTTTTTAAATAATTAAGCCTTTCGGCCTTTACGTTTTCCTAAGGCTGATCTCCGGCGAATTCGATCCGGAAGAATCAGATCAACGCCTGCGACTGCGACCAAGGAATTGCAAAAGCGGGGCAGAAGCAAGAGATAAAGCTTCACCAAAGGCTTATATACATCAGTAAGTTTGAGAAATTTATATATTGTTTTCGAATCAATCTCGTCTTTTCTCGAATCAATCCTCTATCCCGCGATAATTCTGGCGAATACAATCAAAAGTTTTTTTCCTGAGTTTGAGATTTCATATCAACATCTCACATGCAAATATGATTCACCATATTTGAATCAGATTTCACCATTACTGGGTCACAGCTATTCAGCCCGAACAATCTTCTACACTTTGAAGTCTAGACTGCTTTGTTATTGAGTTCTCGATCGATTACGATATACACAAGAAAAATTACATTTTCGAGAAAACCTTTTGCTGTCCAATTTCTCAATTGGGTATTATATACATCCATTTTGACACAGCTAAGATTTGTTTTTTCTTTTCAGTTTTGAATCAGATTCTGAAGGCGTGAAAATTCAAAAAAAAATGGGAAACACTTCCTCGATGCTGACTCAATACGACATCGAAGAAGTTCAGAGCCATTGCCAAGAGCTCTGTGAGATTTAGCTCCACTTCTTCTCTTAAACTGTTTGAAATGTAAATGCTTTTGATCGAAGTTCGCTTTCTTCTTCAGTTGAGCAGCAGGAAATTCTATCTCTGTATCAAAGGTTTTGCCAGTTAGATCGGAATGCAAAGGGATTTATATCTTCTGATGAGTTTCTCTCTGTTCCTGAGTTCGCCATGAATCCACTATCTCAGGTTTTTTTGGCATTTTTTATAAAAACCTAATCGATGAAATCTTTGTTTAGACTCCTTAAAACTGAAACCTTAGATTTTGTTTTAATATTTGCTGGATTTAAATAATAGAGGCTGCTTAAGATGGTTGATGGTTTGAACTTCAAGGATTTTGTGGCTTTCTTGTCTGCATTCAGTGCCAAGGCAAGTCTAAGACAAAAGGTTAAACGTAAGTTGAAGTAGTTTCCTTGAAATTCGATTTCGTGGCAAATTCTTGGCTTTTCACTGTATAGTATAGTATGTAACGATCATGAAACTGCTTGTTTCAGTGATCTTTAAAGTGTATGATTCGGACGGCAATGGGAAGGTCTCCTTCAATGATATCATGGAAGTGTTGCGGGACTTATCAGGGTCGTTCATGTCTGATGAGCAAAGAGAGGTATGTGTAGAAAGCTGATAACCATGAGTGATTGTTAAAAAAAGGTGTAAAGCTTGAACACACTTTGTGAATTTGTTTCTTTATTTCACGAGTAGCTAGATATATAGACAAAACTACTTAGAAGTTCCTATTCAGCTTGTTGCAGTTTTAAGGAAAGATTTGTTAGTTTATTACCGTTTGACTAATGATGCTCCGTGTTTGTGTGTTTTACTTTTGTGGTGTAGCAAGTACTGAGCCAGGTTTTGACTGAAGCAGGCTACACGAGCGACTCTTTCTTAACCCTTGAGGATTTCATTAAGGTATTAAAAACTTTTATTGTGATTGTAGCATCAGAATTGCAGCGATTTGTAATGTTTCTGTTCTGTCTTTTTCAGACAGATTTGTAGGATTCTGATGCTGTATCTTCTTTCTTGTATCTCCAATGTCACAGGTCTTTGGGAGTTGTAAACCGGAGATGGACGTTGAAATTCCTGTGGATTAGGTTTATGGTCATGTGATCATACTCTAAGCTCAAAAATCGCATGTATTTGTCCACTTTGTTAGTAAAAATTATCCTTGTTAGTTTTGATCATGCAGGCTTTGTCTCTCCCAAAACTGGCTTTTAACTATGTATGATTAAGTTTATTCTTAAAGCATTTTTCAATTGAGATGATAATTGGTCTACTAGTTTCATATTCTTACCTTAAATTAGCAATAATGGTATCGAAGAGAAAAAGTTTTTATCTCCGAAGAAGGAAAAAAATGAACTTTTCCCAAAAGAAAAAAGAACTTGGAATGTTCACGGACTTGATCATTTGTGTGGGAAGAGAATGAGATTAAAATCTAATTAAACTGATACATTTCATCGTGTTGTGTTGGTACTTGGCATCTAATTATTTTATAGTATTTGCTTATTAAACTTATAGATTAAGAAAACGACAAAGAAAAGTACTATATTAGGTAATTGGACTGACAAATTGAATGTTGACAAAGAATCCTAACGTGACGTAACGTAACGAAAGTAGCATCATCATCTACTTTGGTTGAATTATTATTGCCCACACAAATGTATTTAAAAAAAGGAATTAAAACAATGTTAAATAAATAAATTAAAAAAGGAATTAAAACGTCGTCATTTCGCTTCGTAATGGACCACTTTTTCTTCTTTTTTTCGCTTTAACGTTTTTTTCTTCTCTTCTCTATTCACTTCACAGTTCACACACATATAAGGGCCACCACCACACCTCTAAGCAGTTTCGTCTCTCGACAGTCAAAAAATATCTCCGCCATTAAAAGTGCTCTTCCTTTCTGAGGGTCCAGCAATGGCGTCGAAGCAAGGTTCCTTCAGGCATGGAATTCTCGAGAAACGCGAGAAGCTTCTTTCTAATAATGGCTTCTCCGATTTCAGATTCACCGACATCGAGTCGAACGATCTTCTCGAAGGCGAGAATTATGGAAGGACTCGGTTATGCTGCTGCTGCTCCTGCGGAAATCTTTCCGGTAAAATCTCCGGAGTGTACCAGGATGCCAAAGATGTGGCGAGGAAGGCCTGGGAGATGGGAGTCTCTGATCCGAGAAAGATCGTCTTCTCCGCGAAGATTGGGCTTGCTCTGACGATCGTCGCTCTTTTGATTTTCTACCAGGAACCTAATCCCGATCTCAGCCGTTACTCTGTGTGGGCTATTCTCACTGTCGTCGTCGTCTTCGAATTCACGATCGGTAAGTAATTACTAAATATCTTCCCCGAGGTTTTAGTTTCCCACGATTTGAGGTTTAATCACGATCAAAATACTCTAATGGAAGCTGATGATTCGATTGGAATGATCCGGATTTGGCTTGTTTCCTTCTTAGACAAAGAGCGTGCCTTGCTTTCATTGTTGAATTCGTCGTTTTCTCCTTTGGTTTGACTGGAGTTGACGATTAGTGTATCATTTCACCAATTACATCTCTAAAAATCGTTTTTTGCTTAAGAGAAGTAGGTTGCTTAAAGCTCTAGATTGTGATGACTCTTGTTGTTTCTAATAGGAGCAACTCTAAGCAAAGGGTTTAATCGAGCGCTCGGGACTTTATCAGCGGGAGGTCTCGCCCTTGGAATGGCTGAGCTTTCCACACTAACCGGAGACTGGGAAGAGCTTTTCTGCACTATTAGTATCTTCTGCATTGGTGTGTTTTCTGCATTTCACCAAATCTTTCAGTTCTCTTACAGCATCATTTTTTGGTTTTTGTCTCTCTGACTTATACAGGCGTCTCTTGTTTCAGGGTTCATGGCGACTTTTATGAAGCTATACCCTGCGATGAAAGCATATGAATACGGTTTTCGAGTCTTCTTGCTTACGTATTGTTACATTCTGATATCTGGATTCAGAACAGGGCAGTTCATAGAAGTGGCTATCTCCCGGTTTCTGCTTATAGCTCTTGGCGCTGGCGTTAGTTTAGGTGTCAATATGTTTATCTATCCTATTTGGGCTGGAGAGGATCTTCATAACCTTGTTGTGAAGAATTTCATGAACGTTGCGACTTCACTTGAAGGTCAGTCATTAATCAAAAGGTTTTGGCTTTTCCGAGTCTCTCGAGAAGATACTTGACTGATATACTGTTGTTTGGTCTTTTACAAGGTTGTGTCAACGGATACTTACGCTGTGTTGAGTACGAGAGAATCCCATCCAAAATCCTCACGTACCAAGCCTCGGAGGATCCGGTTTACAAAGGTTACAGATCAGCTGTTGAGTCAACCAGCCAAGAAGAGTCTCTGGTATTTGTCACTGCGGAATTATCATCATCGTTCAAAATTTGTTTCTTCTTTCCGTTGTTGCTTCTCGTCTCTGAATTAGTTTTGATTTTTTTGTTTTTCTGTCGTGATTGCAAAGATGAGTTTCGCAATATGGGAGCCGCCTCACGGACCATACAGGTCATTTCAATATCCATGGCAGAACTACGTCAAGCTCAGCGGCGCTCTCAAGCATTGTGCATTCACTGTCATGGCATTGCACGGCTGCATTCTCTCAGAAATCCAGGTAACATTTTCTCTCTAGCTTCAATGTTTATGATACTAAAGAGAGATTCAGCAGATCTTTTGTCGTGAAAACAAATCAGTTGCTCATAATCTGCAAACATTTTGACAGGCACCAGAGGAACGAAGGCAAGTTTTCCGTCAAGAACTTCAGAGAGTCGGCGTAGAAGGAGCCAAACTGTTAAGAGAGCTCGGTGAGAAAGTGAAGAAGATGGAGAAGCTAGGACCAGTCGACATTCTCTTTGAAGTACATCTAGCTGCCGAAGAACTACAGCACAAGATCGACAAGAAATCTTACCTTCTCGTCAATTCCGAATGCTGGGAGATCGGAAACCGATCAAAGGAATCACAGTCAGAGCCTCAAGAGCTGCTCTCCCTCGACGATTCAGATCCACCGGAGAACCTCGAGACTCCAATCTACGCCTTCAAATCCCTAAGCGAGGCTGTTTTGGAGATACCAAAGAGCTGGGGCGAGAAGAATCATCGTGAGCCGTTGAACAACAGGCCTACTTTCTCGAAGCAGGTTTCGTGGCCTGCACGGCTCGTGCTTCCTCCGCATCTGGAGACGACGACGAACGGAGATTCGCCGCTGGTGGAGACGACGATGACGTACGAGAGCGCGAGTGCGTTGTCTCTCGCAACGTTCGCGTCTCTCCTCATAGAGTTCGTCGCTCGGTTGCAGAATGTGGTCGACTCTTTCGAGGAGTTGAGCCAGAAAGCTAATTTCAAAGAGCCGGAGGTTGTAACGGCGGCAACAGATGTAGATTTCGCCGGAGAAAGAGTCGGGCTTGGCCGAAAGATCTGCCGGTGTTTCGGGTTGTAAGGGTTTTTCTCTTTTGCGCGTGAAACGATAGTTAAAGTGACTTAAAAACTGTTAATTGTAATCTAGTAAGTAGTAACCCAACTATACAAGTAAACTAAAAACTACTACAAGTAAGTAATTAAATATCAGAGGCACTTTTAACCCCTATCAGTAAAGTGTGTATTTTTCCTTATTTTTCCACATTAACTCGGTTTGAAATTTAATTATGCACTTTTTAACCGACCATAATGATATTGATAATGGTAAACATGAATACGGTATAATTTAATTTGATTGGTCAGAACTTGGATGTATTTGACTTCTGCATATGGTTAAGATAGTTACGTTTTCGTTAGGAAAAAAAAAAAGATAATTACGTTTTACAACCAAAACTTTTATCCATCGGCCACATCATTTATAAAAGTTTCTATAGATGTAGTCAACCCTTTTTAAACACAAGATTCGTATTCTCTTCGGTGTGTGTTTATAAATTATTTCGTAACTTCTTGGGGTTATTAGATAATTAGGCTTCTAACAACAAAAAGTAAAAACCACTTATTCATCGACCACGTCTTTTTTTTTTTTTTTTTTTTTTGTCAACAGACTCAAGATCCTAAAAAGGTGTGACCACGTCCCTTTAAAAAAAAAAAAAATCTTTGATTTAATACCAGTAATATAAATTTCTTTAATATCCCACACTTAAAAGTGTTGTATTTATGAATCGACTTATTTAAATTCAATCATATTGCAAAACATACAACTTTTTAAATCAACCCTTCATGTATTGACCCATAGGAGGAGCCATCACCACTTGCATATTCCCATGCCATCCTGTTATTACACCAAAATAAGAAAAGTGAACATTTAATAACAATAAATAAGCACTTTGAAAGAAAAGAATTGTGATGCGACAGTGCATTTACCAAGAGAAGGGTCAAGACCACGGTTTTTCAGTTCACGGTATTCTTGGCAAAGAGCACAAAATTCACAAAAGCAGTGAGTGAGGCAATCTGAAGCTGGAGACTCCGGTAGCCCGAATTTGCTTCGGATCTTGGTCCGGTAAGTGCATGAGAACAAGCATGGTAAGGCGACAATGCAACATATCATTCCATAAAATATTCCACATCTCTCACAACCTACAGATATTCACGTTACATGAATACTCACACAAATATATATATATATATATGAACACAGCTACAATAAAAAGGGATATATATATGTATGGACATGGTTTACCGAAAGTTCCCTCGTCGGCAATATCAGCGATCCGTCCAAAAGTGATGCACGGGCAGAAACATGTCAGGCAAGCTGATCCAACGAATATCAAAAGTAAATCAATTATTAAATTATCATAGTAAGAACAGAAGTATATATATAGAGATCTATTTGTTTAAAAAATTATAACCAGTTTTGCCGTCTTCCATGCAACCGAAAAGACCAGTACTCCACTGGTTATCCATCCAATAGTGTAGGTTTCTTCTGGTAAAACGGTGTTTGAAGATTAAAAGTATTTGTTGGTCATTTGATTTATAATAGAGGAATATATTGTTAAAATTAGACAGGTTTTAAAGGTATTTTTTCTTATCAACAGGCTTTGAAGATTAAAATTATTCTTTTGTATGATGTGAAAGGTTTTATAGGAATGGAGGTTGGCTGGTTGGGGTATATATAAGTCACACCGTGCAAATGTTAACCTTTTTCTTACTACATTGTAATTAAAGAAAAACGTCAAACATCAGAGAGAATCTTCACCCCTTAAACTAGTAAACATTGCACTTGTTTTTAAAATGAGGAAATATTTTCTAAATTATTTAATGATGGTACACTTTACAACTTGTTTGATATTTTACACCATAAAAATTAGAAAAGCAAAACAAATTGGGATAATATTCTAAGTTTAGAGCAACCTTATCCTCTAAAACTTTACTTAAAACCCACTTTAGATATCTTTAATTAATATAATAGATAAATTTTCTGTCAGAAAGTACAATAAATGAAAGGATACAAATAGAAAAATGTATATGCAACATCTAAGGATTTTACTTTTAAGATCTCTCAATGAATTCTAAGTATAAAGTAAATTTACTATGGTATATAGTCATATATACATAGTTAATATTTTGAATTGAAGGTATAATATATAGCTTCTCGTTAAAGATTTTCAGCTTGTTTAGACACACCCCATACAAAAGCAGGAAGGAACGTTCATATCTCCTATGTATCAGAAGACTTTGTCCGAAAGATCCGACGATGTTTCGGGCTGTAAGAATTTTTATGAAATTTGCATCGGCGTTTCACTTAACGCGTGAACCGTTAATCGTAAACTAACTATAAATAAGAGCTTGAAGAAAATTATTCAAATTTCGGAAATATGAAGAAAATACCTAAAATTCACACTCATGTTTGTTGTTCATGGACACCCACCACGAACATGATATCGCTGCCTTACATTTATTTTTGACCATGAAATTTTATAATAAAGTAACAAAAAAGACAGAAATATGAAACATTATTTTAAATCAATTTGTGACAAAAATAACAAAACCTTGTAAGTCAACCCATCATCCGTTGACCTGTTGGAGGAGCCATCATCTCTTGCTGCTGCGTTTGCACATTCCTAGTCCACCCTGTTGCATCAATTATATTTATACCAGTATTGGTTATAACTTATAAGAAAAGAAGAAGAAAAATACCATTAAAGCCAAAATTTATGAGAGAATGGATCGATAATAATGAAATATACCAATATTGGGATCAAAACCACGGTGCTTGAGCTCACGATATTCTTGACAAAGAGCACAATGCTCACAGAGTAAGTGAGTGATCCAATCGGGAGCCGGAGCCTCCGGTAACCCGAATTTGTTTCTCATCTTCGCCCGGAACATGCATGAGTACACGAACGGTCCTCCAATTAGAAACATCGCTCCATACAACAACCCACTTGTTGAACAACCTGCATGATATTGAACACTAATATAGATTAAACTTACACAAGTGAGGGTCTATGAAAATATTACAGATGTTTTTGTTTCTGTATGTATGAACAATGAACGACTTACTTGTCGCGCCTTCATCAACAATTTCAGCGATCTGACCAAACGTGACGCAAGGAGCTATACATGTGATCACAGCTGATCCAATATGCACAACAAACAACAAAAAGTAGGAAACAAAAATCGTCTGATGTTTGATTTATGTATGAGATTCCGTTGTTGATTTTCTTTCATTTTGGATAGTTAACTAACCGTTTTCACTGTCGTTCATGCAATCGAAAAGATCAGAACTCCAAAGACTTTGCGTTTGGTTATAGACCGGTATGCCCGTAGGTATGTTTAGCTGGACAGGTACATTGTAGTTCTGGTTACCTTGAGGTTGTGCCTGATGCGGCTGGCCATGATCTGGTCAACCCATAGATATGTAAATAATCTTTTATCGTTTTGTGAAAATGATAGATGAAGGTTGGGTTTATATATATAGTAAGGTTTGTCACAGCTTTTTCAATTAGTTTTAAAACTTTCTTCAAATGGCGGGCTCCTTTTCTTCGTATAGTTATTCCCATCTTGTGTATAATAAAAGGTATTTGTAACTACTAATTTGAAACATTATTATTCCCGGCTGTCACCGTTCTTTATAGGTTTCTAGAAAATAACATATTACGTATTATTTTGCAATCAAATTTCAACAAAATTTAGTTAGCCTTACTTTGTATTTGCAAAACTTTTAATTAAAAGCTAATTAACTCATGTATATACATGTGTCATCTATAAACAAATGACAATCCATTTCAATCCCAATCCTTATTGCAACGCAGGTCATTTAATTACATTTATTACTAAATTTGAAAACTATGTGTGGATGTGTGTCCGTTACTGTAACTTCAAAATCTTTTCGATATAATATTTAAAAAAGGAAAAAAACATCTTTTTGATATCACAAGGTTGCTTATGGTGGTGAGGACCTGGTCTTTTTTTCATAGTTTCTATTCTACATATGAATCAAAAATAAAACAGCAATTTTACTTTTTAACTATTGATATATACAATGATATTTGATCATGGTAAACATGATTTATGCAAACACATGGGTTCAATTTAATTTGCTTGGTCAGAGCTTGGATGACTTTGACTTGTGCAAATGGTTGACGCTATATATACAGCCTTTGCAAATATAACTATTATTCATCGACCATATCCTTTCTACTATAGTCAAAACCATTTTGAAACATAATTTAAGTTATAAGGAAAAAATAAGGTGGTGGAATATATCCCTTGACAATTTGGTTCTGATAATTCGGCGAATTATATGTTATATATTTCTTAAGTTACTGTTCTTTTTTCTTAATTTGTTATTTTAATGATCTAACGAGAAAACTAAAGAAGTAGTTAATAAAATTAAAGATAGAAATGTAATTCCATATATTTTTTAAAAAAATGTGTGAAAACTTCAAAACATCAATCATCTTGAAACAGAAGGAATATAGCAAAGCAAAATAAATAAAACTGGAATCATTGAAACAAATGTGGTAAATATCAAAACGACACTTAAATAGAAGTGCTGTCTTGTTGAATCCACTTATTCAACTCTAATCACATAACTTGTATTCATCCCATCATGTGTTGACCCGTAGGAGGAGACATTGTTCGGTGTCTATTCCCATCCCATCCTATTATACCAAAATAATAAAAGTCAGCATTCAATAATATTAGTTACTATAAAAAATTATCATTTGAGAGGAAAAAAAAAGTCATGAGTGTGAAAAAATGCATTTACCAAGAGAAGGGTCAAGACCACGGTTTTTGAGTTCACGATATTCTTGGCATAGAGCACAAAATTCACAAAAGCAATGAGTGAGGCAATCTGAAGCTGGAGACTCTGGTAACCCGAATTTGCTTCGGATCTTGGTCCGGTAAGTGCATGAGAACAAGCATGGTGAGGCCACCAGAAAACATATCAGTCCGTAACATATCCCACATTTCGCACAACCTACAAATATTCACGTTACATGAATACTCACACACACACATAATATGTAGACATAAACAATTACACATATACAATAAAAAGAATGTACGTATGACTTACCGGATCTTCCTTCGTCGGCAATATCCGCGATCCGTCCAAAAGTGACGCACGGGCAGAAACATGTGAGGCAAGCTTATATCCAATGCAAATCAAAAGAAATAAAAATTAAATCACGATATCAACAGAATATATAAAGATTTACTGATAACTCGATAAGTTTTATTTATTTCTAACCAGTTTTGCCGTCTTCCATGCAGCTGCAAAGACCAGAACTCCATTGGTTTTCCATTGTAAAATAATTGATGTATTTGTTGATGTGAAATGTTCTTAGGAGGAGGTATATGGTTAATTATATATAGTGTCGATTCAAAACACTACAAATCTTTAATTTTGTTTAGATAATTCTACTTTCGACAAAATCAGAAACATTTGTAAAGAGAATCTATAAACATAAAGAGAGGAATTATTTGTTTTTATGTTCAAATAATATTATTCTTGAATTAGTACATTGCAGCTTTTGTTAAAATGTTTAGTAACTGATCTTTTTAATATGGAAGGTATTTTACAGTTACCAATTTGACATTATACTAGGGACTTGTATTTCTTTGCAAGTTGTATATAATAAATACCAAAATAGCAAAAATTAGGGATTCTATCATAAGTTTAGAATAAATTGTTTAAAATATGGAAGGTTCTTAGAACTTTTAACTTTAACTTTAACTAATCACGTTTGTCCGAAACATGGAAGGTTAGTTTTTAATATGGGAGTTTCTTATAACTTTAACTAAACGCGTTTTAGAATGATTTAATCAATATAATTAATGACACTACAAAAAATTATACTACTATGAAAAATCTGCTGTATATTTTTATTTATCAACTCGCAGTTTTACTGTAAAATAAATTTTATATCATAGTGATTTGTAAAAATATATTTCGAATCTGCTGTAAAACAAATCAATATTTTGAAGACAGTAAATAGTTGGATTTGGAAAATGTGTGAGCTTTCGAAATATGGTTGGGCCTTTGATTAGCCCAAGTATTAGCCCATTGAACGTCATATAGCTTCTGGTAAAATATGTTTAAGCCTCTTTGGGACCAATAACCCATACAAAATCAGGAACGTAACAAATTACTATTTTACCACCAAAACTCTGATGTAGCAACTAGCAACAGATCAGATCGGAGTAGAAAATTTTCCAGGAAAAAATTAAAACAACATTCTGAAAATTCTCTTAATTCACTTGTTGATTCCAATAAGAAATCAGTTCCCAGAAAATTTCTTCGTACTGAAGTCTTGCTTGAGATCCTGGGAGAGCGAGATCAGGATCCGAATTCAAGGAGATGGAGGCTTTGCAAGATGGATCGGAGAGAGATAAAACGACAACTCCTCCTCCTCCTTCTTCTTCTTCCTCCTCTCCCATTCCCGTCGTCACTAATTTTTGGAAAGGTATGTTTCAAATTCGTGTTGAACCATCTGTTCGTTTGCTTCGATTCGCAGTGTAGCTGAGCCGGAGCTTGTTGTAGTTAAGGAGAATTTCGTGGTTAGGTTTGCATTTTTGTCGAAGTAGTGAGGCTTAATCAAATTGGAGACGTGATGAGTTTTTCATTGTATGTTAATGTGATAGGATTGAGAGGTTTCAGTTGATTGCTTTAGAAGTTATCAAATCTGTCAGCTATTGTTCATCTCGAGTTTATCCTGCTTTAGTATTTGTGACATGTGAACGAGTCTCAATTCGAGAACTGTGCGTGTGATTGCCCTCTGTTTATCTGTTTGATAATGCTTTTCCCAAATGATTCACCAGTCTTTAATATATATTTTTCCTCAGAATTTGATTTGGAGAAGGAGAAAAGTCTGCTTGACGAGCAAGGGCTTCGAATAGCTGAAAATCAAGAAAACAGCCAGAAGAATCGGCGAAAGCTTGCAGAGAGCACGAGGGGTACGTTTTTTGGTTCACCTAAATAGTTACAGCTAAGGACGAGTTGATGTTAAGACACTCTATTGGTTTATCTTGGCAACAGACTTCAAAAAAGCATCTCCTGAGGATAAGCTTAGTATGTTTAATTCCTTGCTCAAGGGATATCAAGAAGAAGTAGATAATATTACCAAGAGGGCCAAGTTTGGGGAGAATGCTTTCCTAAACATCTATCAGAAACTCTATGAAGCACCAGATCCATTTCCTGCTCTTGCTTCTATTGCTGTAATTCTCCGATTGCCTAATGTTTACACAATGGAAAAACCTTAAAAGCTATAGCCTGAATGATATGATGTTGGACTTACTAATTGCTGTATTCCAGGAGCAAGATCGTAAATTATCTGAAGTGGAATCTGAGAATCGAAAAATGAAAGTTGAACTTGAGGAATTTAGGACAGAAGCGACTCATCTGAAAAATCAGCAGGCCACAATAAGGAGACTAGAAGAACGGAACCGCCAGCTTGAGCAGCAGGTCAGCTTGCTATCTGCCTCATGTTTTAGTTAGTATAGGGACAAAACAAACCACTGTGAATATCAGTAAAGCATAGAGAAGAGCGGTATAGAGATGCTATTTTGTGATCTTGTAACTGTTAACTGTCGAAGATTCACAGTGATATCGTGTTGTTGTATTTTGATCCAGATGGAAGAAAAAATCAAAGAGGTTGTTGAGATCAAGCAACGGAATCTGGCTGAGGAAAATCAGAAAACGTTGGAGCTTTTAAAAGATAGGTAAAAATATTTGTTCTTTCCTGAATGCTTTGGTAGGAGTTTTTTTTAGCCAACACCGACCTCTCCATATTCACATTATATACAGGGAGCAAGCGTTGCAAGATCAGTTAAGGCAAGCAAAAGACAGCGTCTCTACTATGCAAAAATTGCATGAGCTAGCACAGAGCCAACTTTTTGAACTTCGTGCTCAATCAGGTTTTGCGTTGACCCTTAACATGGTGACTCTTTTTGTGCTTTCATAGTTCGGATAGTCTCCTTTACATCATTAGTCATCTAAAAATTTGGCAGTTTTCATAACAATCTTTCTTACTTCTTTGTTCCTTCTTGTCTTGTTAATACACATTACTTTAATCTAAAACATCAGACGAAGAAACAGCGGCAAAGCAATCTGAAGTTAGTCTATTGATGGATGAAGTGGAACGTGCTCAAACGCGACTCCTTACACTTGAGAGGGAAAAGGTCTTACAAAATGCTCTTTGAATGTCATGTTTTGATCAATGGAATGCCCCAAGATAAACAGGGGATTTTGCACTCTAATTTTGTTATTGGTTTGTAACAGGGACATCTGCGGTCTCAGCTACAAACAGCTAATGAAGATACTGAAAACAAGAATAGGTGAGTTAGTTAACGGTAATGCATTAATTTAACAAGGAACATAATTTCAAATAGGTCTTGTCAAGTATTTGCTTTGACTTTTTTTGTGCTCTTTCACTGCAGTGATAATGTTGATTCAAATAGTATGCTGGAGAACTCTTTAACTGCAAAAGAGAAGGTTATTTCCGAGCTTAATATGGAGATCCACAATGTTGAGACAGCTTTAGCGAATGAGCGAGAACATCATGTTACGGAATTAAAGAAGTTGAATTCGTTGCTCAATAAAAAGGTGAATTTGTGCTATGTTTAGTATTATATGCTGAGAATGGTTACTTCTTTTTTGGAAATCAGTTTTCTGTCGCTTTCCATGCCTAATGCTAGCCTACCGTCATTTTAATTGTATTAAACTAGGATACCATTATTGAAGAGATGAAGAAAGAACTTCAAGAAAGACCATCAGCAAAATTAGTTGATGATCTGCGCAAAAAAGTGAAAATTCTGCAGGTATTTATCATTTGTGGTGTTTTCCCCTTCTAGTTGACTTGTTGCCCAAATCCATCCCCTGTTCTTCCTCGCAATGATATTATCGTGTATAGTATAATGCTATTACTACGTATTAGGCTGTGGGTTACAATTCAATTGAGGCTGAGGACTGGGATGCTGCCACCACTGGCGAAGAGATGAGCAGAATGGAGTCGCTTCTTCTTGATAAAAACAGAAAAATGGAACATGAGGTCACTCAATTAAAGGTACACAACCCTCTACGGAATGAACCGGCACCATTTGTTATCTTCATTTCTCTTTCCGTTTTCAGTGACATGAGCATACACAAGTCAATGTCATTGGTCAAATAATACCGCTTCTTATCCCAGGTTCAACTTTCGGAGAAAACCTCCTTGCTTGAGAAAGCTGAAGCCAAGGGAGAAGAACTAACAGCTAAGGTCAATGAACAGCAAAGACTGATTCAAAAGTTGGAAGATGATATTTTGAAGGTATGTAAGAGTGTGTAGTTGCAATTTTAAGGTGCCTCTTCTAATTATGTTTGTTGTTTTCAGAGTTTACTTCATGCGTTTTCTGTGTCTTTATTTTTGATATTATCTTTTGAGATTATGAGGATTTTCTCATTCTATACACACAAAAAAAATATTGTAAATGTGCTACTGAAGAGAAGAAACCAGATCACATAAAAACTTCTTTACGTGTGTTACACAGGGTTACAGTTCAAAAGAGAAAAAAGGTGCTCTGTTTGATGAGTGGGAGTTTTCAGAAGCAGGTGCGGCTGAGCAGTCTGAGGTACTTCTATCTGACCTATGTATATGAGTCTTGTACTTTCTCATGCAACACCCTTGAAGCTGAGAAAATTCCCCAAAAGAAAAGAGAAAGGATCAAATGTTTCAAAATCAAGATCTAAGTAGCCAGTAAAATATAGCTTTAGATTGTCTGTTAGATCATTTCTAACACGTTTGCTTACTCTGCCATTTATTTCTGGCGTGAAGGAAAATATATATATCTTTGAAATGCGATGCCAAAACACCTGAAAGTTTTCATATAAATATGGGGTATTTCAAAATAACTTTATCGCTAACTACTGCTATATATCGTTTTTTGTTTCCTTTTTGATTAGCCTATGGATCAGAAGCATATTTCATCAGATCAAGATCAAAGCTCAATGCTGAAAGTTATCTGCAGCCAAAGAGATCGGTTCCGAGCACGGTTGCGGGAAACAGAAGAGGTAACTGTAGTGCACTGGAAGATCCTCTCTTCCTCTGAATTTAGTTCCTTTCTCTGGTTAAATTCATTTGTTGCTGAAATATTATGGGTTCTCTTAATATTGCAGGAGATAAGGCGATTCAAAGAGAAGATAGGCTTTCTCACAGACGAGTTGGAGAAGACCAAAGCTGACAACGTCAAACTCTATGGCAAAATCCGTTATGTCCAAGACTATAACCACGATAAAGTTGTTTCCCGAGGATCCAAAAAGGTATGTTTTCTTTCCTACATTACATTAAACCCTTTTCTGTCTCGT